CTTGCTAAAAACTTCGAAAATGGTCCGTGGGAATATTGAGATGGGAATGCAGGGGTGCATTCTGTCCAGCCTATAGCTAGGAAAATACTTGCAGTCACTTCATGAGGGGCGAGCTTGCTGTTGGCCACTTCGACAGCATCCTCTTGTGCTAGTTGCAGGTGAACTGTGTTCATGGTGAGGGCTAACACTTCTTAGTATCGAAGCTGAATAGAATGAAAAGAGTAAATACTCACTTGACGTTGGCTCCTCGAAGGGGTCCAGCTTATGGTTATGGTCTTTATGCCATGCTTCAAGCTGCATCTCCCACTCTGTGATGGTAGCTGGTGCAAACATGTCTGAGAACTCATTGAATGCCGTTCAGTTCTTCCGGTGCATTGCGACAGCTTCCTTGTATGATCGAAGCAAATGCAGACCTATGAATACCGGTAAGAGTCTCAGAATCATGCAGCAAACCCTGATAAGACTCACTCAGATTGATTATCTTCCCCCAGTTCCAGGCACTCCAATGGTCATCGAGAACTTCTTGGCGCATGGCCAGCTCCATCTCCTGTGCACTCAATGCGATTGGGTTCATGTGAGACCAACTGGACTCAATCCCTTCACTATATGTCCATCTGACCTTGCGGAGATAGTTGAGAGAATATCACGAGTGATTGGGTCCATAAACGGGGAAATGCTTCTTCGGAATGCCCCAGCAGATCTTGATGTCGTTGAAGTTGAGCTTGAGCTCTGAGAGGTAATCGGAGTTCCATTTTTGAAAGTTTTTGCTGTATTGACAGGCAATGTCGTACGTCAGGAAGAACCAGATCAGCATAAGCGAGGCGAGCATCAATAGAACCAAGTAGTCCATGTTACAAAACCTGTGCGCAATGAGCATTAGGTACGGAATGAGACACTGAATGACTTACTTTTCTCCTTTCTGTAGGTCGCCCACTCCTTTCTTGCGAACGAGAGCATGGCGTGCACAGAGAACGGCCCCCACACTGGAAGCGAGATAGTCCTCCTTCTGCAGATTCACTTTGATGATGGCTGTGTGCTCCATGGTGCAGGTGTTTTCCTATCCATTGACATATAAGGCAATGCTGAGCACGAAGACACAGAAGCGAATTACGTACCTCTTCAGAACAAGCATAACGTGTGACGTGCACCAGATAGCGTGATTCTTCCATGTAATATGCCCAGCCGGGAGACAGATGAACATCTGTCAATTCCTTATCTTTGCAGTGGATGTGGAAATTGGCATCAATCATCAGAAACAGGACGTACAACCACCTCAATTGAACGATACGTTAGTAAACGAGAGTGAGATCAGATCTTAAGAATGGCTCACGATATGTCAGGTGGTGCATGTCCCAATTCTCCGGTAAGTTACGTCCAGGATGCGGGCATGCCAGGCACTCAACAGCGAGCTGACCCTCCTCGGTTGCCTCGACATCGTCGGGGTCATGGCCCCACCCCACCCACTTGAGCATCTTCAGATGTCGCCATATACGGACACAGTGTGCCATCTGTTTATATCTGTTCTGTAGAACAATGAGGGCACAGCACATAATGATATATGAACGACTTACAGGGACCTTCTTCGTGCCTGAATTGTCCATAATACGTCATAGAGTTTGGGAGAAGTCATAAAGATTCATCTTGCCTTGCAACATGAGCTGGTGGAAAAGCTTGAGGATGCACGTCGTGAACATTGTCTGTGGTTGATCTGTGCTAGCGGGAAACCAACCAACACACAGCAACTGCTGCCAGCAGTATGTCATTCCGATGTTGAGAGTATTGCATTGACAGAAGCAGACATCAATGATGTGAAGGCCGGTAGTGTCGCACACACATACAGTGACCCACAAAACTGTTGATAAGATTGCTTACTTCAACTTGTATGGTAAATATCTCCTCAACCACTAGGCCAAATAGATGTTATAATAGCTCATTTGAAAGCCTATTATCATGACTTTCCAATGCAGTTTTGTTTATTGTTTTAGCATATGTTGATCCCAAGATATTTGATACTCTTTGAGGGCCACTCTTATCAACAGTTTTGTGACACATATTCAGGTTCTACAAAACTCATACTTTCAGTACTTGGTATAGCCTCCCTTTGCCTTCACAACTGCATCCACCCTCCTTGGCATACTTTCAACCAGATTCTGACACACTTCCTTCCCAATAGCCTCCCATTCCTTCTCTACCCTTTCCCACAACTCAGTAATTCCCTTTGATGGCTCCTGATACTCTGCAAGCTTCTTTTTGAGGTGACCCCACAAATTCTCTATGGGATTGAGATCTGGGAATTGAGAGGGCCATAGCATGGTGTTGAAATCATGGTCTTTGAACCAATCCTTGGCCTTCTTGCTGGTGTGCTTGGGGTCATTGTCTTGCTGGAACACCACATTCTCCACAGTTTTGCCCCAATCCTGCAGGCTATTCTGCAGCTCATCCTCCAGAATGCTGCATAAAGGTCTGCATCCATCCTGCCATCGATATTGCAGACATACCCCACACCATCGCAGCCCATACAGCCCCACATCATCAAGGATCTACCTCCAAACTTCTGAGTCCCTTTCACCAATCTATCACTGAGGCTCTCCCCTGGCTTTTTCCACACCCATTTCCTTCCATCTGACCCCATCCTGTTAATATTTGTCTCATCTGACCATATCACCCTTCTTCAGTCCTCTACAGTCCAATACTGGTGAGCCAAAGTGAAGTCCATCCTCTCCTTCTGATGCCTCGCAGAGAGTAAAGGCCTTTTTCGCTTCACTACAGCCTTCATTCCTGCCTTCTTCAACCCTCTTCACACTGTATCCACATTGACAACCCTCCCAGTAACATTTGCAAGAGTTCTGGCCACAGCAGGAGATGTGGTAGCCTTGCCAGTCCTGATGAGTCGAGTAGCATAGCGAAGATTGGCAGTAGTAAGAAGGGAAGGATGCCCTCCTTTGGCCTTAGGAATGGTGGGGCAGTGTGTGGAGCACAGCTTACTGATGATAGAATAGTGTAGCCCAGTCAAAGCTTCAATTTCTTGAACAAATTTGCCATTCTGAAGCAAAGCGATGACATGGTTGACAGTTTCAGTAGCAACGGCTTTTGGCATGATGTTGGTTGAGTGTGAAGAGTTGTGTATGGCTGTTTGTACATTGTTCATGTTGAAACATGATCATCCAATCAATATTTCCACAAGGAACCCTGTCAACACATCAAGAATCACAATATTCTGAGAACTTATGTGTGTGCCACAAAACTGTTGATAAGAGTGGCCCTCAAAGAGTATCAAATATCTTGAGATCCAGATATGCTAAAAATATAAACAAACCTGCATTGGAAAGCCATGATAATAGCTTTCACATGAGCTCTTATGGCATTTAGTTGACCCAGTGATTGAGGAGATATTTACCATACAAGTTGAAGTAAGCAATCTTATCAACAGTTTTGTGGGTCACTGTAGCGAGGAGGAAGCTGAAGGATTGAGGCATGATTTGCCACCATGTCTGAGCTGATATATGTAGCCAAGAGTGCAGAGTGACATTTGCTTGAAACACTTGCCGTTCCAGTGCTGTTAAATGGCCATGTCATCATCTGTGCAGCATTACGTTGAACACATGCTTACCTCGACACGATGGAGGGGTAGGTCTCCATGTGCACCCACCATGCAGGCAGAGCATAATAAGGGACTCCCAGTACAATCTGTGCACTGGAAAGCACCATGCTTCATGCAGTTGCAGCAGTTTTGGTCATCCAATGCATCACCGAGGCCATCTGTGTGAAGAAGCTCATCCAGGAAGATTTGACGGAACGGCAATCAATGCTGCAGCTTCTCCTGCTCGAATTCAACATAGAGCCTGCTGATTCATAGACGAATGATTCACCGATGCTCGTTCATCATTTCACTGTCTTTTTTTCTCACCGGCATCGCGAGGAGCATCATTCCCCCATTCTAGGTCGTCGAAGGTGGCAGGTAGCTCAGACATAGCTGGTTTCGGGGGAGTAAGATGATCGAGCTCCAGTCTGATAGCATGCTGTCTGAGATGTCCACTTCTCATAGTGTGTAGTGTAAACGACCGCTCAATGTCGGGACCCTGTTCATCTTCATCGTCGACGATTTGTATACATCACGCCTTCTTCGTGGCTCTCGAGTGCTTAAAACCTGAAGTACGTTTCACCATAGAGAAGAGCCTTAGGTGAGATAAGAGGACCTCAGGCAAGACAACATTGAGAGGGAGAGTAGGAGAGATGAGAAGCAGTCAGTGCGAGTGGGACTGGAATGAAGTGTGGGCTGTGGCAACACACTACAGGTCCGACCAAGTGAGTGCCACTGTGACACGATCGAGTCAGGATAGTCCAGTGCATCTGCACTCTGCTTCCCGCTGCCTCTCCGACTGACTTCGTAAGCAGTATATTTTGTCCTGGTTCATGATACTTACCAAGCTGTTATAGAATATTTCTTTTTGGACTTGCTCCTTCACTCGCAGTCTAAGTATTTACACTACAGGTCCGAGCAAGTGCCAGTGCCACTCGTGATTGAGTCTGCGTCCTGTGCATCTGCACCATCTGCTTCTCTGCCTCTGCTTCCACTCCAACCGACTTTGTGAGTAGTGCATGTTGTCCTGGTAGATGACACTTACCCAATTGTATAGCATATTCATTTTTGACTTCATTCTTCACTTGCAATCTGAGTAGTCCATGTCGCGTGCCACTTAAGTCTGCATGTGCATATGCATCTTATGTCTCACCCTCTGCTGGAGCCTCGACTGTCCCCATAATTCATATGTAATGTAGTACTAGACAATGGTTGTCTGAATATGAAAACCAGTTGTGTTTTGCTTGCTCGTGCACTCAAAAATTGGATATGCTTGTGACAGTGGCCCTCATAACAACCATGCCTTAGACAAAGTTCAACGGTGGATGGCTATGCATTTAGAATACATCACTGCATGCAAGAACAATAGAGCAACACTATATATCACTGAGAACTAGGCCGTGGACAGACCCGCACTCGATTCTCCAACTTAGCCTTTGCATACATCGCGCGTGCCTCATGTTGACTGTTTGCCCTCCTGCAATGCGCGAATGTGATACCCTGTACATGAAAAGCAACTTTATTGCTATACAATGGTCAGCATAAGGGATGGGCGGTCAAAACAATCATTACTCACTAGTCATGGAAGACACCAGTCTTGCTTTCAGACATCACAACATACCATGGACCTAAATAGTCTGGGTGTGGTGGCTCTTCATCCCCAGAATTCTCTGAAGATGGATGAGCTTTGGATGGAGGAGCTTGTGTGTTTCTTAGTTCATACTTCTAAATAATAGAATTCAAAGCACGTACCATAGAATGCCACTATAAAGCCGAGATCATTCAGCAGTTCCTCCAATTCTGAGTAAGTTGCTAGACCGAGGGAAGCCAACGACTCTGTGAGACTTGAAACGGACATCGTTTTGCTCAGAACAGATGCCATGATGCACGGCACTGTGGAAGTCTCCGGTGCACTTGTGAGCACGGTCGATGTGCCGCTCACCATGGTTGGCATGCTCCTGCAAGTGCTCGACATGTTCTGGAGCCCTGGAACTATGTCTGTAGAAGATGACAACCTAGCTGAGGGAGACCACGTTGACTGAAATACGGAGCAGCACCATGACTCAATGGATCGCTCGCTGATGCTCCTCTCGGTTGATGTATGGTTGAATCTTGCTCGTACTGACTGAACCATCAACAAGGACATGGCAGAAGCGCTGAGTGGAGCAGAAAAGGATAATGTCATCGAGGAGCTGATGGGCAGATGCACTGAAGAGTCCAAGTTGGCGTCCGTTGAGTTGTGAGAGAACACAACTGAGTCATTCACAATCGAGATCATCGAAGGCTGCATACGCGCGAGCATAGAAATGGCCAGTGATGTAGGGACGGAAGGAGGGCAAGCAATCGCAGGCACCTGTATGTGTACGTCGACCCTTATAGGTGCAGCGGTGCATTCTGACAGTGATGCAGAGGGCGGCTGAACAGTGATGGTGACTTCGATCGCAGGCACAGTGTCTTCACCATGAGGTGTCCGATTATTGTGATAGCAGGGCATGATGAGTGTGAGGAGACTGGCAGTGAGGTGTTGTTGAGGTTGAATTTGTTTGTTTGTTTGCACCACCTGTCAAAGCAAGCGATTAAGGGTATCCACTGGCCCAAATAAGGGGTCCTGCCCATAGCAAAAATTGGTGCTTTTTTTTTTTCTCCCCAACCATGCCAGGAAGAGAGTGGATGATCAAGGTGCAGAAGATATGGCTTACTGAGAGGATACCTGACTTTCTGGAGGCTCAGAAAAAAGACATGACTTCTGTATTCTTCCCGCTGGTCTATGAAGCTTGGTTCAATGAGTTTCCCAATGATGAGCTGACAGTGGCCAATATGGAGACTGCGGAGGGATCTGTTGATATTGCCAGGTCCAATAAACTGAACAAGCAAAAAGATGTATGACATTGTACTCACATTGATGACAACATCAGCTAATTCATTCCCACAGCATGTGTATTGGTGGTTTCACAACCATACGTGGGCTACATCATCCGCGTCAGGCTCCAAGAAAGTTCTAAACCTAATGAAGGAAAAGCAGAAGCTCACGCCATATCAAGCCTACTATAAGCTCATGAAGGACAAGCTTCGACCGATCATCAATGAGAAGTACACTGCACACCTTCTGACTCTACCGGCTGGAACGGCACCCCTAAACAAATGGGTCTGGGGCAATGCTCTGGTCAAGAAGTTGTTGGAAGATGAAGATGAGGAGACAAAGTCCACCGTTGAGAAGCTCCGCAATGCATCGGTCACGCAGGCTGTTGACTTCGAGGAGCTGGACAAAGATGCAGAGAACGAAGAAGAGCAGTGAGTGCGGGAGGCCAGGATGGAGGAGGTGTCTCAGTGAGTAGCTAGCAAGTGTTCAGGAGACAAGGAAGCTCGCTAATCCTTCCAGAGTGATCGATAATTTGCCACACAGTGAAGGTGATGCTCGACAGAATCGAAGAGAAAACCAGGTAAAAAGCCACCATAATCTGTGGAGGCTTTCATCCAACGTACAAAAACATTAGAACCATTACGTACATTTCATTAGCTTTGGCTAAACCCGGTGTGTGCTGAACTAGTGATAGGTACCACATGGGCAGCATGAGAGACCTTGCCCACACCTTCCCACAAATGATCAGAACAGACTGGGGAGAGAAGGTGGAGAAACCTTTCCGAGGTTTCCTTCAGAAATGCTCTTGTGAGTGCATGAACGTGTTTGAAAGACTCACTTGCTGACCTTGGATGCTTTGCAGCATGCGAGGCCAAATCCAGGTTAACCAACGACAGTGACCCTCCTCCCAATGCCACGGCTGGCCCTAGTGGGACCCCTGGTCCTCAACCTCAAGATTCTTTGGCTACCACCAACACCCAGCAGAGTGAAGACAACGAGGACACACTGATTCCTGCATACAAACCTCGTGAATGGTCATTCGACTCGGCATTCAAATTTGATAGAGAGTGAGAGCGGAACATCGCACAAGTGAAGTTGCTGCTTCAAGAGACCGGTTTGAAGGACGATGTGGTGAAGTTGTCGAAGAAGAAATAAAAGTGGAAGTGGGACAGAGACGAGGAAAGCGAGGAGAGCAGTGCCAGCAATGAGAGCACCGGCATCCCAGGTCCCAGGTGCATCGTAGCGCATCGTGAATTTTTTAAATTAATGTTCTTACCCCACATACCCCACAGTGGCAGTGTCGAACCCCTGACCAAAGTTCCCACCAGCGATGTTGCTTTGCTAGTCACCGCCACCACTGCCACCATCGACTCTCCTGCTCCTGCAACTGTCGCTACTTCCCAGATCATGAAATCTACTGATGCCTTGTCCTCACGCTCCTCTTCGGCCCCCTCTGATGATACGCCGAAGTGGATGCAAGACGTGCAAGAGTACTTCTTCACCATCACTAGCATTCCATCTTGGGACCGTCTCATCCAGGCATGGCTCACCTTCGAGCAGCACCTCAAATATCCAGATGGCTCTCGCGTCAATTGGCTTCCATCGAAGTTCAGGCCTGAGGAGGTCAAACAATGAATCAAGGAGGCCTGTCCATTCAAGTCAGATGCAGTAAAGGTAAATGTCCTGGTGTACTCACAAATGTGGAAGGCGTGGTGGTGGTACCTCCAGCCTGCTGGACAGGTGGAAGGAATGGAGTGGCCGCTGTGATGCGAGCTCCTGGATGGTGCGGACTGGTTGAGTTTAAAATGTGGGGGGTGGAATGGTATCTTTTTGGTCATTATTTCTCTTGCCTGGTAGGCATCATGTGCGGATTCAGCTGTGCAGAGCACAGACATTTCGTCTACTGCAGATGATGTCTTATGGGTCATTGAGCAGATGTCCCAGTCCACCCTCGAGAAACGTGCCACCTCAGCTGCTGGTGCCTCCCCCTCCCCAAGCAAACGCTCGTGCATCGTTTGACTTCTCCTCTCTCGCCGTATATCTACCCTGCCCTTATAGCCTTGTTCTTCTCATTAGCTGTCATCTGTTGCCTCACTTTCTTGAGCCTGACCTCAGTTATGTTTTTCTTGAGCAATTGAATGTGATTTCCGATGATAAGGGGTAAATGGTGTGATTTATGTTATGCTTTTAGGTAGGTAACCCTCAACAGGGTTGTTTACATTCTATCTTATTAATGCATGACACCATGGCTACATGTTGTGTACTTTGAATCCTCTCCTTCTACTCATATGTATCACATTCATATATTTCTGCTTGTTCTTCTTTTCATCCATGGTTTTGATTGTCCTTTCATAAAATGCAATTTTATCTCAAATAAAATGTGATAATCAGTGGTAATTGATGGATAACATGAAATTAGTATGCATGGGTGGCTGAGGGAGTATTTAGCTAATTCACAAAGTCACAAAGTGAATAAAAGACATTTTTAAAGAATTATAACATTTGCGAATTATATTACAATGTGCATAAAAGCAGTTGACTAAGTCACATATAAAATCATATTCATGTATAAGCTGCTATATAATTCTGCAGGCTATATCACAATGTGTACAAAAGTATTCACAATGTGCTACAAAGCCCTGCAAGCTGAACCACAATGTGCATAGATGGCTCACACCAATCCACAGAGTGAATTGAATCCATCCACAATGTGCATAGAAGGCTCACACCGATCCACAGAGTGAATCGAATCCATCCACAATGTGCATAGATGGCTCACACTGATCCACAGAGTGAATCGAATCCATCCACAATGTGCATAGATGGCTCACACCGATCCACAGAGTGAATCGAATCTATCCACAAGGTGCATAGATGGCTCATACCGATACACAGAGTGGATACAATACATTTACAATGTGCTACAAAGTTCTGCAGTCTGTATTACAATGTGCATGAAGCTCCAGAAGGCATAAATTACAATATGAATCAGACCTGCAGGACCTGTGCACAAGCATTCTAGCAGGCTGGTGGGGAATTGTATTACAATCCTGGAACCCAGTAGTGCGAACCACATGGCCGAGTCCAGATCCCACTTCTCTGGAGGAGGAACGTTCGATTGCATGCTCTTCTCAACCAAATCGTACATGTCATTGATCTCTTGGTCGTACTCCTTCAAGATGACTCCACGGCGCATGGTGTTCTTGGCTGTGTATGAGAACGGCTTGGAAGGCTTCGACACCATGATCATCTGTGAGCAGACATGAAGTTAACATTATCCTGAAGGAGAAAGTTGATTTTGCTCACCTCCTTGAACAATCTCGAATGCTGCGGTGCAAACTCAATCATCTTCTCGACAGTCCGCCTATGTCGAAGACACATCAGGGCAAATGTGAATGATGAAGTTGAAGCCCCAGACATACTAAACCTTGTTCCTGAACTCGGCGAGCTTCTTCTTGTCTGACAGGTCAAACTGGTACTCCCGCTTGGGATCCACAAGAATATCAGCCTGGAACCGTCCACGACCGAAGATGATTGACGCATGCATATAGGGGTCTTGATTCATCATCGCCTCTGCGTACATTCTGTGGTCAGGGTTCTGTCAGCCTATGAGAATGATCAGCACATATACCAAGCAGGCCCAGATTTGTCTGGAGGAAAAATATTAGTGACTGCTCAGTTGGCTGGATTTGGCTAAGGCAAAATTGACCTTCTCTCCTGTGCTGTGCATGATCTGGTCATTCATACAGCCGTGGATCTTCCAAAATCCCGGCTTCATCGGGTGGCTGATCACGAGATCAAACATCGCATAAGAGTGTACGTCATTAGCGTCAGCATTCAAAATGGCCAGGTGAAGGGCATCCTTGGTCTGCAATTCAGAGTTCTCAGTCCTCACCAGTCAGAGTCAAACATCATGGCACAAGATGCACCATGAGAATGAACTTGTATGAGCCATCATCCTGTGAGATCATGTGCGCCTTGGTGCAATTCAGAAACTTGAAGTACTCCCAGTCCATGCCGATTCGGTGAGCAAGATGACCGTCAGCAGGCTGCCCTCAGTTCTACACAAGTTCCTTTATTAGCACACAAGCCAGATAAGAGATGAAAGACTCTCACGATCTGTAGAGGTTGAAGATAGTGATGCCCTCCCATGCCAAAAAGTCACCCACCTCTTTGCTAGGAGGTCCGCCACCGCATATCTGGCCATTCACTTATCAGCGTGCATGAGCCAAAACACTTATAGGGTACTCATGAGGCCCTGACACATCTTGAAATAGTCTACGTAGTCTGGGACGTGAGACCACATCTGTAAAGAAAACAGTTCATTTGTGTTCCGGCCAATGTGCGGGTAAATCCTTACCTCGATCGTTGCCGGAACAGTGATGACGATGTCACATTTAGTCACCTTGGTAGCTTGAATTGTCATGTCTGGTGACGGCACAGTAGGAGGTGACTTGGGCTTGAAGAATGCATCTGTGATACCTGCCGAATAGCAAATTAAGATGATGGCTAAGAACTGATAAACACAAATTCACTTACCCCAACATCACGATCATGATGCCCATAGCATAAAACATAGGCATGCTATGCAGCGAGAATACCACACCACACAAGTGACATTCGCTGTAGCAAGGGGACTGAACAATCTCCAGAACTCTCTGGTTTGACATGATGATGGGTTTGGGGAATGTGGTGGAGCCTATAAAGTACGGTCAGCGAGGATCGAACAAGGCAGAAAATAACAAGGCTATATACCGGATGAGTGCAAAATCAATGCAGGAGCATTTGCACCCTTGACCTGATAGGAACGTCAACAATGGCCATGGACAACGGCAAGTAAAGCTCTTCGAATAGTGGCAGAGATGAGGAGTTTGGTGCAATTGACAAAGGGTATTCCATCTTGAGAAGGTTCATCGCCTCATCAGCGAGTTTCTCCATGGACGGTTCCAGCTTGATGAAGAGGTGTTTAACTCCCACCTGGCTGATCAGGTGGGTGATGGCAGCTGGTGGATTACGCGAGGAGATGAGAAAAGTGGTGTAGCCTGCATGCATGATGCTGATCATCATTGTGAAGTATGGAATGCCGTCTGAGGGCAGGTCACTTGAGCCGCTAGTTCCAAAGATAAAGTGCAAGGAATATCTTACCTAACATAGCAAGAATCACCACGGCTGCAGTTTCATGTATCCCAGGCTGCGAGCCAAGGCAGCTCCTGACAAGCTTTGTGCCTGTATGAACACTGTGCACTGCTTCGCACCAGGTGATGTTTCTAGTTTCACCATTATCATCGGCGAATGTAAAGATGCAGGAGAATGGAGAGTTCTATGCCTGCCAGTTAAAAAGCTCAGGGACGGTCAATGAGCCCTCCAGAGGGGGGAGCTTGAAGGTCATGCTCGAGCGGCCATAGATCTGAGGGCAGGGAGGGAGTACGGAACGTGTGAGGATGGTCATGGCTGTGGAGCCATGGGTGAAGACGAGGTAGGAAGGATAAAGTGAGGGAGAATATCTATGGCATTGAGACCACCTCGAGGGATTTATAATCCTCAAAAGCTGGGTACCTTTCCTCCACTGAACCTATGTGGCAAATGTCATTCAATGTCCTGCCACTGACGTAGCCATTGGGAGCTCCTCCACGAGCCTCCAGCACTGACTCAGGAGTACCACGGCAGCTGTGTGCATGAACCATCAGTCGCACCACGCACTGTGGTCTGCATCCATCGGGGCAGGCACGAATCTATTGCTTCTTCCATAGTCATTCGGGTTTACCTGTGCAAATGAATATGCACCTGGTCAAAGTCAGCACCCTCAAAGGTATATGTGCAGGGCATGTGTGTGCAGTCCAGTGGGGGCAGCCACACGGTGGACTCATCATCCAAGGGTGAGAGAGGGTCGGGCTCGTCATATGCGAGTGAGTGATAGCCGATGTGTCCTGTCTTGGCCAAGGGGTAAAGAGCAACAGCGAGAGATCCAGTGGAGCAGGTGAGGATGCCTGTGTGCTGCTGATGTGAACCTGCACAAACATGACCCATAGTTCCAGGCATGAATCTCCGTAGTCATCCCAGACAGGTGCATCAAGCAACACTCTAAGACTGAGAGAACATGTACAGCAGAATGACATCCAAAGATTCCAAAATCTAGTAGAGAATCACATGACCACAGTCATTTTATTCCTAAACTCAGCGACAAGTGCTGGTTCTAAAATAGTAGCAGCCCAGTGCGGTGCGATGCATATTAGATGGAAGGGCAGACCGGAACCCTAGTGATCAAAGGCAATCACGAAAGGGGACTCCCCTTCTAGTGGTTACAGAGAAGTTGTGAGATCTTCATATTAGAAATGCCAATGGACACAGCAGGGAGTTGACTGCAAGCAATGCAAAGACGATGATGTCTACATCGAGGTAATATATATGTGACAACATTAGAGGAAAGACAAAGCAGAAAACATGTCCATTCCAATTTCCCAATGCTCCCTCGCTTGCAGCTCCTCAGCCTTCTTCTCAGCACTGTTAAGCCCCTCACAGTAAACAGAGATTGGTTGAAATCCCAGGTCAACCCACTGAAACAAGCTGCCTGCTGTATACTGCATAAATGAGGACCTGCTTTCTCCCTCACCGATGGCAACGTTCGAGTGGAGAATGATTGCTGATGGTATCAGAATTGTGGAGCTCGGTGGAAATTCAATTACAAGCTTCATGTCCCAAAGGACCAAGTGTCCATCTAGCATTGGATTGAAGTCCCCAAGTGCTGTTACAGAACACCAGCCAAATGCGAGATTGGCAGAATCACGGTGATCTACAGTGCAAGTTGCAGGACCAAAGTTGAATGTGGTCCCTGCAAAAATACTGTTTGCGAAGTTGCGTTTTAGTTCAAAATACTTTGTGTAGAGAGGCTGCAGGTGATCAACATAATATTTGTACAGCTTCGGAGCCCAGGTTTCAAAAGCGGCTGTGAGAAATCAGAGAAGTTTCCAATAGTGGAGCAATATTGAGACTCACAAGATGCAAAGCCTGCAATGCGACTAATGTTGTGATCTTGTAGAAGACACTCAAGCATCTTTCCATTGATTTCACTGTTGACTAGGTTTCCTGGACACTACACAGCCAAATGGTTAGATATGGCAAATCTGCCATTTCGATGATTACATACCTTTTGTCCTCCCCCATAGGAAACACCAGTTCCACATGCAGCATACTCACCTCGATGATGACTGCAAATTTTTGAGGTGAAGACCTAGCTCTGACGGACATTTTCCATTGCCTTTGCTGCTTGACTGTGGACAGCATTCCAAGATGGGTCATTAGGAGCCCCTGCAAGGACAGCCACAACTTGTCTCAATGAGTCTGTGATTGGGCATGCAGTTCTGTAGTTTTTCTCCATTAAGTAACAAAGCTGAATAGCCAATATCAAACTCTCACCTGCCATCCCAACGAACCAGTTCAAAACCAAAAAGCGACTCCTCTCCAACAAAATCCTGTAAGCTGAATACCTTGCCATAGACCCTTGAGCTTCTGCCTGCTGTATAGGCACCATTGGTGTGAGTTGGTGACAACAGGTGTGGCTGGTCACACATGATGATCAAGGATAGATTTTCGAGCATCTGGAGGGTAAAAGGGAGATGCAAGCTTTTGGCGGGCATGACATTTTGCACGTCATGCATTGCTTGCAGACCTTGAGCCTCTTGCTCTCCACTGACTCTGCATCAAGGGCTGGTTGGTATCCTTCTGGGATTGGGGATCAAACTTAGGTGGGGATGGCTCAGACACAACAGCATCAACATGTTCCTTGTGGTCATCTGAAGCATCTGACCTGCTGCAACCTGCATCATCTGCCTGAAGATCAGATTCTTATGTTGGGTTGGTGTGAGTAGTGGAATTTGATTGAAAAGAGGGGAGTTGATCAAAGATGAGCTCAAGTTCATGTTCCTTTGCATCATCCTCATCATTTTCTGCCATAACGGCTTTTAATAATAGCTTGGGGAAATTGAAATCTGAGGACACGGAGGCGCAAATAGCTGGTATCATGCAGAGTTAGACCAAATCACTCATTCCAACACTTCCAACAGATGGAAGAAAAACCAGACACATACGGTCCACAGACATTGCAAATCTTGTCATGTATTTTTTTCAAGCTGTTGCAAGCCACTTGATGAGTCCCACCAAAGTTTCCCAAGTTGTCTTGCCAATGGTGTGCCAATGGTGGACTGACAGTCAGATGATCAGTTGGCACTCAACGATGGTGAACGCGTGACCGATGAACAGCCACCAATAGGAAGCCCATAAAGTGTAGCTGCATCCTGACACACCACTTCTCTCCTCACCCCATCGCACACACATCGCCATGTCCATCATGAAAGTCCACGTCTACCAGGTACACGCACATGCTTTTCATGATGGCACAGCATCTGATCGTCATGCAGATCTTTGACTCTCATCGAAACTCCACCGTAGAGGTCGACCTCTACACCAGTGAGAGTTTTTACTCTACATACAAGCACATGTAGTATTCAGGGATCTCTGGTGATTGACATGATGTACTGGTAGAACTCTTCTGCACATCAGTGCTGTCTGGTGCATCCACGGATATTTGCGAGGCTGTCGAGCTCCGTGATGGCGATAAGGCAAACTAGGTTGAAAAAGGTACGCATCGCGTCATTCCCCAAACTCTCTCCCCTCTTCATGCACTCTCTAGGTGTCATGAAGGCTGTCGCCAATGTGAATGACACCATCGCACTGGAGCTCATCAAGTTCAGCCTCACGGTCACTGTGCAGAAGGAGATTGACGACTTCCTGGTCAAGCTCGACAGCACGCCTAACAAGGGCAAGCTCAGTGCAAATACAATCCTCAGTGTCAGTATCGCCATCATGATGGTGGGTGCAGCTGAAAAGGGTGTCCCCCTCTATCAGCACCTCACAGATCTCACGGGGGTAAAGCCACCCTTCATCCTCCTGTGCCCTGCGTTCAACGTCATCAATGGCAGCTCGCACGTGGGCAACAAACTCGCATTCCAGGAGTTCATGCTCCTTCCCACTGGCATGCATTCATTTACGGGGGTGATAAAGTTGGGTACTGAGAGATACCACATGCTTAAGAAGGTCATTAGCACCAAGTATGGTATTGATGGTGGGTATATGCACTTTGTCTACTCGAGAAACCATGAAAAGCCTCATGACAAATGTGAAAGAACTGTGAACATCAGTGATGAAGGTGGATTCACTTCAAATGTCTCTGGTGCAGAGGAGTCACTTGAGCTGCTTGCAGAGGTGATCAAGAAAGCGGGCTATGAAGGCAAGATCAAGATTGTGCTGGATGTTGCCTCATCTGAGTTCTACAAGGAAGTATGACCTGGACTTCAAGAATGCCAACTCAGACCCGACCAAGTGGATCCCCAGCATCAAGCTCGCAGACCTCTACATGAGCTATGTAAAGAAGTACCCAATCATCTCGATCGAGGATCCCTTCGACCAGGATGACTGAGAGGCTTGGATCCACTTCATGAAGAACAGCAGCATCCAGATTGTCGGTGATGACTTGACAGTCAGGAATCTCTGCACATGAAGACTGCCCTTGAGAAGAAGGCGTACAATGGTCTCCTGCTTAAAGTCAACCAGATCGGTACGATCTCCGGGTCTATTAAGGTGTAAGTATAAGACAACATCACAAGAAGAGGATAGCATGCTCACCCATCATTCTTTTCCAGTGCACAGCTCATGCAGTCTGATGGCTGGGGTGTGATGGTTTTGCATCGCAGCGGTGAGATGGAGAACATGTTCATCGCTGATCTCGTTGTCGCCCTCAGTGTTGGCCAAATCAAGAGTGGTGCACCTGCACACAGTGAGCGTGTTGTGTAGTACAATGCGCTGCTCCGCATTGAGTATGACATCCTCTCAGTCAATATGGATGACTGTACTAATCATCTATGCTTCATAGGGAGGAGCTTGGCAATGGCGTCTATGTGGGTGTGAGGGGTCTCACTGTCGGACACACACCCCCAGCTCTGCTCAAGTGAAAACACATGCAAGTCAGAAAGTTGTAGGAGGTGTAAGTTGAAGAAGTGCTGTGCTCAATCATAGACTGTACTCTGCTGTCATTTGAAGGGAAAGAAATGCAATGAAAATGATACCTGACAGAGCTCAGTTGTGCTATGCTGGCTACAACTATGCCACCATCCCCTCACTGGTCTTGACCGCTGACAGGTCTGTGCTGCTGCATCAAGACAAGGAGCCTGATGGCACCCCCACATCGCTTGCTGGACATATCAACTTACGTGAGATGGGTTCGCACGTGCAGCGGAAAGCCCTAAGGACCTATAAGTTCCTCAGTGAACTCAAGGAAGGAGATCTTGGTTGACTCGTACAAGCATTCTATGTCTTTGGATGCACCACCAAAGATAAAATGATAACCTTGATCCTCGCTGATCATCACATCAGATGGCAAACCTTCGTTTGATCATGAGAGCACACCACAGACTCTCTCGATGTGATATTTGGGCCATCATGTGAGCCTTCAAAAGTTATATGACTTTTTGGTGCCATTTGATCGCTATTCGCCCATTCTTTCACCTCTGGTCCTGGAGTGATGAACAATTTCCTGCTATCACTTAGATGTTCTCTGTATCACTACTGAGCTTGTTTGAAACAATGCTGAATGAGTCAATCAAGACTGCAGCGAACCTGGACCCCTTCTGTTCTTTCAGTTAGAAGGTTGGGATCAGCGGTGGGCATGGTTCTTGCAGCAGATGAGCGGACTAGACTACACCGTGCTCTGCGAAGGTCTGCATGTTCATGCTCTTGATAACTCCTTCCAAGTCATTGCAGTGCTGGTCCATCTGAATATTGCTGAGCTGTAGTGTGTGCGATGCACTGACCATGACATAGGTAGTGGACCCATAGTCTATGGTGATACAGAATGGGCCAGTGTGTGATACAAGCTATGCACACCATCCTCCTGCTCTCCGATGATGGCGATGGTTCCATTGGAGTGGCTGTTGGTTCGGCTGTTGATATGACCACTGGTGTGCTAGGCTTCGACTGTGACTGTGTGCTTCACAAACAGCTGAGCCTGCCAAGCCTGAATCTCATCATCTGCATTGAACGTCTACATTGGCAACGTCTAATGGATTCGGACTGCTGCAGGAACAAACAATCTTCCTTGACCTTCACATCTTGCACTGCATTCTCACACTTCTGCTGGAGCTCCTGCTGGAGACCATTGTTTGAGCTTGTCACGAGACCAGAACTAATCCCTATGAACCAATACCAATTATGACGATAGACCACTTCGCCAAAAGGCTGGTAATGCTAAGCTTGGCTTAGCACTAGGTTCTGACTATATATATTAGGTTTTTCACGTAGCACGGAGGGTCATACTGTGACAGAGCTCCTCAATTTCAGCAGTGTTTGATGCGGTACAAGTTCTTCGCACCATGTCACGAGCTGAGTTTCAAGGTTGTGTATCGCTATGTCTGTGTGCACATAAGCTCCTTTGAGGTGTTCTGGAACTAGCTCGGTGCATGTGTGGGCTTCCTGTTCAGACTCGAACTTGGCTGCAAGGGCACCCAAAATTGGTATCAGATCTCTGCTCATCGCTCAATACGACACCAACTCAACCTGTGCCTCTTTCACTGAAACCCGATTGTTATCATACAATGACTCCACCTTATGTCCAAGAACATCCTATCACTAGTGCTGGTATCAACATTCTTCGTGATCTGCCTGCATGGATGTCTGTGAAGAAAACTAGAACATGGGATGCTGGTGAGCAGACCCAGTGGCCATGGCTGAGGTCACTGTCTGTCGGCAGTTATGTGACTGCAGAGTCCTGGTCAGATCTGTTACAGAAGTTATACTCAGGTTGTCCCAATCTTACCCTGTCTTAGGATGCAGAGTCTTCATGATGAAATCATTGCATTCGTGTCCTACATATGCCCAACTGATCAGGTGAAATCAGCCCGCAATGAACTTGTAGCTCGCTTTGGAGATGTGTTCGAGTGCTGATTCATAAGCAGAAGCTTGGGAATATTTGACAGCTCTGTACATGGATTGAACCTTCCAGATGGGTATGAGGTTATAAATGCTGTTTTTCTTCTTCATTTCGAATGATGTGTGCCAGAGACATAGATCTTCAGCTGTCATTGCCCAACACATTTGGCAGCGACACAGATAAATTGCTCTTTCAAATAGCAGGAACTGTCAAGGACTCGTTAATGGCACATGATGTGCAGGTCATTGATTATGCCTGGGTCCCTATAGTTTCATTTACCACCACTCCTGAGCTTGATAAGTTCTCATCCCCCAGGATCAATTCACCATCCATGACATTCACACAGGGTCATTCAAGACTGATGTTTGTGTCAACACCACAAATGGGCTGAAGTTGATTCCACACATTGCAGCATACCTGCATGAGATGCCTGCTCTTCGATATCTTGTCATGGTGTTGAAGGTATATTTATCTCAAAAATCACTCAATAGTGCTGCAAAGGGAGGTCTGAGCAGCTATTCACTTGTCAATTTAGTCATCAGCTTTCTCCAGGTAAGTACAGCTCGCCTATGCTTTGTTGCTTTCCGTTGAGTCAAACTGAGCCATCAAGCGCAGATCAATCCTGCATCACTTCATGTGGACAATATACAGAAGCCACTCAAGAGGAGATCATTGGGGTGACTTCTCATCGCCTTTTGCGATTACTATGGCAATCAGTTCAATTATGAGTGTTCTTGCATCTCAGTTTCGGAAGGCAGGGTCTTTGACAAGTTTACCAAGCAGAGGCCCTATCACTCGCACCCTGGGCTGTTATCCATTATATGTCTTGTAGATCCCGGTATGTCAAGCTGTGTAACCATTTACCGAAAGACATTTACTTGTAGTAGATAATGATATAGGAAAGCCTACAAACAAAGTGGTGCAGCTTCGCAATGCATTTTGCCATGGATGTGTGTTGTTACGAAGCTCTACTGCTAGCACTGCTCATGGCAGCGGTGTGTTGAGCACAATTCTGAGTGTATCTTCTCGGGTATGTCTATTCTGTTCCACGTTTGTGTCTCATATGACCAAGTGTTCACTTCAAACACTGACTAATGCATCAGATTCTGGACCATCAGGACAATGTGATTGAAATCGTAGATTCTGGAAGTATCTATTGTGCTCTGAGTGCTGTCGTGCTTCCACATCCATGGGTGAGACTGATACGAGGCCATCCAAACTGTGGTCATTGGCTGCCGAAGAATTCTCCATCTCCATCTCAACTCAGCGATGATAGGTGTTCAGGCACATCACAGTTTGGCATCATTCACGTAAGTCCCTGTTGGATAATGTGAGAATGCATAGAATTCTCATAGCCTTGGTTGCAGGATTTTCCGGAAAGCAGCGATAATGCTTATATTGCAACTCGTGGGGTGAAGAGATCACATGATGTTTGATATGTTCCATAGCCTGATGTCCGCAGACATGTCCTGACATGGGACAGCACTATGCACTGGCACGTATACAATCTAGGGTCATGCAAATGTATATATCCGTATTTCTGATCAGACAGGTACCGCACACATGCAGCTTGCCCACCGTGACCGGGTGATCGCACATGAGGAACGCGTCCATGGCGAAGTTCGCTGCTGATCTTTCAGCGGGTCAGGCAGCAGGATGACATCTGTCTAGATGACTGTAGATGTGTTGCGCAGGCCATCGACCATCGGATCCATGTGGAATGAGAAGATATGCTGGTGGAACTGGGCATTGATACTGGAGATGAGGGTGATGCTGAATATGGTCACTTCCTCCCCGCCCTTGACGTACACCTGCAGCATGCCTGTGCAACAGACTTCAATGCTGTCCTGATTGAATAAGTAATTGAAGATGTACTCTGAGGACCTCACTTCTGTCTCTCATGTCATGAATCACACTGCAGGAGGCATTATATCATAGTTGGCCAGCAGGCAGATTATGCCAGCTATCAGCCTGCAACTATGCACAGCGTGCGAGTGATCACCGATGCGGTAGTCGCTGTGTTTGCAGAGGAGGCCCATGTCCTCTTCGTGGATACAGATGACATTTTTGATCACGACCACACTACCATCGTGCACGATGTATGCGCTGGGCTGAGCAAGCAATGTCAATCAATTACTAAATCACAAATCGGTCCAAGACAGTCGCAGCTGGGTGCCAACTCATTCGCCGTGGTCTTCATACCGTACTCCCCCCTATGATGCAGTCATTCTCACTGAAGTCACATGCGAAAAACAAGATGTATGAGTCGAATGCATGCTTTCTGGGATGAGGGTGCTCCAGCGAACCATATGGATGATCATCTCTGCTGAGGACAACCAGTAGAAGATGGGCCGGATATTGCCATCATTGTCATTGTACGTGATGGTTGAGAGCACCATACTCTAGTGATGATGGAGCACTACCGGCCAGCAGTCAGCCTTCAATTTAGCGACCATTCAAGGACACGAGATGATACTGACCAATGTGCATCATCCACTTCCACCACTGAAACATGTGCCTGTCCATCTTGAAGCTGATGCCTTCGGGCTGCCGCGAACCTTGAAATTTGAGCCTGGCTTCTGCACGATAAGGTCAGGCAAATATGCTCGCACTTCACTGCTGTGAGTGCATCCTCCTCCAGGGATGGGGGTGCTGTATTTGACACGATTAGCTCAACATCAACCCCGTGCTTTCGGAATATTGAGCTTCACGAGGCCTGCAATAGGTAACCAGGAGGAAAGTCGATATGACTCACTTTCATCATGACTGAGTAAATGATGAGAATGAAGTCCTGCCCAGCACATCAGCGTCGACAGTCACAGATCCACGTCATCCCAATGAAACAGATAGATGTTGAATGAGACGTTCGCAATTGGTTCAAGCCTATGACTGAAAGGGGTGGCTTCTGGGCATGTAAGGCATGTAAACACTAATGAGCAGGCAGTCAGATCGATGGTGAAAAGACATTCCATGAGGTCAGATGCTCTGCACCCAACAGGGCCAGAGCAAGAGAAAGTATGCAGCTCGAGAGATGAGAGATGATCACGGAGAGCATTTTGTGCTAGTTCCAAGAAACGACGATCAGCTGCACATGATCAAAAGCTGACCTCAATGTGCTGCAGCAGGGCACTGGCTGACACAATGCGGGAAAAGAACTGTCCATCTCTGTTGGCATATATGTTTTCCAGGATGGTCAACACTGAATTATAAGCAAAACTTCAATTCTACTGGTCCTAGATCAGTCCTGATGGAGGAGTTGCAGAGGGAGCATGACTTCAAGATGTCGCATGTTCAGAACTGAGTGAACTGACAGAGGACACATATTTTGCAGGCGATGAAGTCATAGGAGCAGGGATGGATGTGACCGTCATTGCGCACTTTGTGGGGATGGGCAAAAGGCGAGGCAGCTGTGGCTAAAGTACGGAGTTGCATTTTTACATAACACATCGAAAAGGAGATCGAGCAAGTGCCCATAAACTGTGGGCTGTCCTCCAGCTTGATGCTTCCTGCCCTCAGATGATTTGGAGATTCTTCCCCGGAACTACGGATCATATCAGAGTGAGTTCTGCATCAGCAGTTGGCACATTCTAGCCCCTCTATGCTTTAAGCTTCATTCCATACTCCACTAGCTTCGACACTGGGAACATCTGTGCCATAGGCTCTACCATGGCAGCTAGTGGTGCTGTAGATGAGGAGAAACAGTATGCAGAACAGTCAGGGAGCAATTTCTGGTCAGCACGGAGTGAGGTTGACAGGAGAACGGATCTGCAACAGATGAGAAAAAAGCTGCTTCCTCCACCAGCAATGAACCACTCGTGTCATCTGTGCAGCCAGAGATGATTCTGTCCAAGATTAGTCTGGAGGGGAGCTTGCATAGTTCTCATTCAGCAAAGAGTGTCCCTGTCAAGGGCAGGTGAAGGACATTGTTGGATAATGTGTCTGGGTGTGTCACTCCAGGGAAGCTAACAGCGTTGATAGGTGAGTCTGGTGTAAGGAAGGTACATTCATCCCCTCTATATTAGCATCAAGCAATATCAACGACATGTCTAGACTATGCTGCTGAACATGTTGTCAGAATGCACAACTGGTGGTGTCATCATGGGAGAACGCTTCATGGACGACCGGCCTCTCCCGTCAGACTTCTGCTATCAGACATGAATCGACATATATATCCTTCTCAAGAATGTTTCTCCTAGATTGGGCAAGCTCTTCACATAGTCGCAATCTAGCCTCCCTATAACACGTCTTGGTAGGATCATCAATTTCTTCACTCCTGTTCACAGAGACAGTTGAAAATAGTTATGCTATGAGAAATCAGTATTGCCGCTTTCCGTCCTCCATCTTCTTAGCTTCACAGAATGTGGTACATAGATTGAAGCCAATGCTGCCCAGCCATCATCGTGAGGTGGCATCCTCATGAATACAGTCAGCATGATCAAGCTACCTTGATCATGCTGTTAGAGGCGTGTTCTTCCCGAACGATAGAAATGATGATCAGGCTGCACTGTTCATCTGCCACAATTCCCAGCAGACGATCGTAATTGTGCATGTGAGGGACAGTCACGCTGAACACGATGGTGGTTCTTCTGTCTTCACCTTGCATAGACTTGATGATGGAGCGGTTGTTTGGGGTGAACAATATCGAATTGGCATATCTGCTTATGTACAGAGTTCTCAGCATGCTGATGTTGCTGATTGATGAAGTGTTTGGAACAGCTTTGAGAAAAGGAGCATTCTGCATGCCATCACAATGTTGAAATATCACAATTGTATGAGCACTTGCAAGCTATCAGTGAGCGGTGATGGCGATGGCAGTGACAGCAGCAGTGGCAACGATAAGGGAAATCCCACGATTTATGTAGGAGCCAATGGCATGTGCAGGCACTGCACCTTATGGGTGATTAAGGAGGTGATGATGTTTCGAGAATATCAGATGAGATGGATGTAATAGATATGATTCGTGCAGTAGTGGTCGACTCAAGGACATTCTATACTCACTGGCTCACCTGTGCGGCCGTGACTCGCGCTATCTCAATCCTTGCTGGAACTCAGTGTAAAAAATGCACTATAGATTAAATAAATTGATGCTACAAGTATAAGCATAGATTCGTGCAATGTAATAGGCATATCCCAGAAGAGCTGCATGCCAGCACACAGCTGACTTCAGTCACCAATGGTGGAAATGCTGATAGCCTTCGCAGAGTTGTGCTGTTAGATTCAATCCCAATGCACTGTGTGCTCTCAACGCGAAGATATTACGGTGCCACGGCTGAGGTCCAAATTTCTAACTCAGGGGAAATTAACAGCACCACGCCACACTTGAGATGGCATACATAATTGTGGATCTTCGACACAGATCACGGTCTGACTTGGCCCGTTGCAAAGAATGAATGGTAGAATGACCTGTCATTTGCAGCTTCTACAACAGCTGCGAAGGCGAAGGTACAGATTGTCAGTGTAACGTCACAAGCATTCATAGTACTAACTAGCTAAATACTGCTGAATTTAGGTGCTGCCAATGGCCGATGGCACGTCAGGCTCCTCCACCAGGAGTTAAGGGAGGCCTTCATACTAAGGGTGGGATTTTGTGCCACATCTGCCGCCACACCTCAGTCACATTTTCATACTCCGAATAAATTCAAACTCCACAATCTTAATCGCCCCCACTCCCTAATACGACTTAAGATTGCGGAGTTTCAAAACTATGTGATCGTATCATGATTGAATACATGGCAGTGATCGAAACGTGGCACAAAATCCCACCCTTAGTATGAAGGCCCCCTTAATGCCTTTCTGGAGGAGCCTGATCGTGCAAAAATATAAAGCTATCTGTTTGCGGCCTTTGCTTATATTCTCAACCCATATACCACTGTGCCGTGTCAAAATATGCACTACACGAAATCGGATTTCTGTATTCAAGAGTCTACAGATATCATTGATCAGACTTTACATAGTTATGCAATGTACTGTCAATTCAGATGTCACATTGCATCACTACTATCATCCTCTATCATTATCTCTCAGCTGCTCAAATTTCACATCCACATCTACATCTATCATATACCAAATTTGAACATCATTCATTGCCCCAGCGATGCTTGTAGCAGCTGCAATCATGTATGCATTTCTGGTAGGAGGACTGAAAATCTTTGCAGATCTCTGTTAGCCAGAAGTCTCGTGAGAGTCAGAACTTACACTTAGTGCTTGAACAGGAACTCTATCTACAAATCTGTTCAGCATCGGTCAGAAGCCTACAAAAATGCATACCACACCTCGCATCCGGAGTGTCTGGATATGTTCACCATCTGATGCCTTTCGCAGACGAATTCTTCTGACAACACTTACACAGAGCAAACAGGGACCATCATGGATAAGTACAGGCAATATCATATCTGGTCTCTTGCTGGGTGCCCGCACACTAAGCCAATGCAGACCAGAAGGTATCTTATACATGTCAAATCTGGTGGTGATATTGTTAGCCACAAGCAGCCTGTTGTCCAAGCTGACCTTGGACATCCCACTAGGGTGATAGCACTCTAAGTGGGCAGTCATCGCGAGACATTATTGCACATACCAGAGCACTGTTGAGATGTGCCAAAGCATCGACGAATCTGCGCCATCCAATCACCAGCAGCTGTATCAAGAGATTCAAGCAAAAAATCATAAATAGAATGAACTACTCACAGAATGCCATGGTGAAGATATGATACAACAAGGCAGTTTTGCTGAGGAGCTGCCAGCCATTGGACCAATGTCACTTCCATGGCATGACTGTTATTGAATGGCATAGAGGGCGGTTGGCCCAACATAAACTTATACATCCAGAATCCAACTGAGATGCAGAGATGTGAGCCAGCAAATCAAAAATGATCAACAGCTTTCGCAGTGCAGAGCATATGGGTCATGCACCGTGCCTTATGAGAGCTCAAATGACGTCTCTACAGTGCGAGAGGTATAAATGAAAATAATCTCATGAAAATGAACTCACTGTCACGATCCAATTGCCAAATCTTGATCTCTGTAATGGCTGCAGTGGCCAGCCAATGGTCTTCACAAGTTCAGCGTGGGCACACGGAGTAGCCCTCGGGTGCTGAATGCACTTCAACATGGGACATGACATATGTATCCTGTGGTATGAGTGTGTCGCAGCTCATGGATATAGATTGAATCGGTCACCTATGTGCATAAAAACCTGAGGCAATGACGGAGTTCTACAGGACATCATCAATGTACCAATCTGTTGTCACAGTTCAATAAGGACTGAACATAAGAGATACCTCATCAACTCGAAGCTCTACTAGAGTCCCAACACCTGTACCGGCTAGTATGATATCAGAGCATGGTGCCCACATCAGGTATAGAATGGGTGTTTTCACGTTAATATGGTGCAGTGCCTCCCCTGAGTGAACGTGCCAGATAATGATTCTCCTGTCAATGCCACTGCTGGCAAGGTAAAGCCCATTGGGACTGAATGCTACAGATTGATTCTGTCGGTATGCTGGCCATGAAGCCTGCACTTTCTTGGCTGGTATTTCAGAGGCATGTCGAATGCTGCACTTCAGTGTTAGTTCATTTCCAATCAACGGCAAAGCAAGCACGAGGTGATAAAGACATAGTATGCAAAACTCAATGGGTGACGTACGATGGTCAATGCCAGCAGGTTCTCTTGCAGAACATCACCAATGCAATATAGTCACTAGTCACAAGAACTGGCATGGAAGCTAGATGCTATTACTGAGATTTGAATATGTGCAGGGATGGTCCTACAGAGGAACTTTGTATGATATTGACGGGCTTGAGAGTGGTGATCAACAGAACATTTTGGGTTCTGAACATTGAGGCCTGAGATCTGAGAGAAATCATAGAAGGTGCTGGAAGCTTAAGGTGGGTTTGAAGATGAGCGGAAGCACACTGATGCCAATTGCGATCGCACGTGGGGCCGGGACAGGCCCACGGCCAGCTATGCTACTGTATGAACCAAAAACAGATCTGATCGATCAAAACAAATCAGTACAAACTGAGCCAAACAACCATAAAATCATATCACCTGCCATCACAAGGTAATTCACAGACCTGTGCACGCCCGCCCCAGCAACGTTAATTATAATGCAATGTGTTATCGACATTAAGATGATGTCCCAACCAGCAGATCCTCGCCATAGAGAATGACTTGGACAAGACCTCCTGTGCATTCACCCACGGCCATCCATCCAGACAAGTTCCTGTCCGAGGTACGTGCTTCATTTCACTGGCACGATGCCGTGTTCATTCGATCCATCCTCCTCAATTGCTGGGTTTGAACTTCCACATCCAAAGTCATTTACTTCTGTTTCAGTGCAAGATGCATAAAAGCTAGTAGTTTTGACCACAAGAAAATGGAGCGCTGGATAAGATTGTACTCGCCCGCACAGTTGAAAAGTGGCTCACATCATTTCCATATCTGTTCAGGGACGAAGCCTTTGCACTACAAGACCAAATAAATCTGCTTGTATTTGTCCATCAGTCCTTCTCTGCATCACATATCATCCTTTCTTCCTTACATTCAGCCAGAACAACATGCTGCAAGAACCTAAAATCTTGTCAAAGGAGGATCTGCCTACGTCAAAAGAGTGCAGCCATGTGAAATACATGGCTGACTATCTAAAGTGGTGAAACTTCAAACAGTGGATGTTTGATGAGAAAGAGGCTTCTCTATCAAGCATCCTAGTCAATGGCAAGACACCCAACTTTGCACTCTTTTCTACGACCACTGCTGATCAACAGCACTTCTCAGCACAAGCAGTTGTAAAGGATCTCGTGAAAAATGAGCCTCGCATTGGCTCGCTGACGTCTCATCTTATGAAAGTGCAGGATGAGAAAAAACAGGCTAGATACCTGCTGTTTTCCTGCCCAAGTCTCCAAAACTCTGATCTGTACACCATCGAAAAGCCAGAAGCACAAACTGGACGAAAGGTCATTTTCAGAAATGAAAGGGGACTCACAGGGTATTCGACAATCGACATGGGTGCAGATAGCTTCATTGATTGGATCCAGAACATGCAGCTCTTTCACCAATATACGAGACTCAGCCAGGGTTCTTTCGATGCTTCCTGGAGTCACCCATCCACACTAGCAGTAGAAGGAAGAGCCAGCCCACTAAGCCCAATTTCTGCCATGTGCAAGTCACCGAGGAAGCCATGCTCACTGTGATCACCTCATCAAGATTTCACCACCTTGTCTTTGCGGTCAGCTAACGGAAGTGCATGAACTCGACACCAGCCAGGGGAAGCAGTGTGGATAAGGAGAATGCTGACATCCTGAACATGACACACAAGCGTCCGATGGATTACTCGATATATAAAGATAGGTGCAGGTATGCCTCTGATGCAAGGTCTGTTTTTGCTCACGTCTGCTATCTCATTCTGATGTGTTGATGAAACTTCCTGATACTACCAAGACAAGTAACGCAAACTTTAAGATGGGCACCATGTGCAACACCAAAGTGGAGTTCCAGTTTGGCAAGGCCATGTGGAGTAAGGAATCCAGGAAGCATCTTCATGCTGGCAGCTGCGAGTACTGTAGAGATGTGAGTGACACCTCTGCATTACTAGTCGTCATCCAAGCTGATGAGAAAAATAGTTTTATGAGGGCCTCAACCCGATGCCGCCCAGCCTCTGCATCTGTTATGGCACTCACCCATACCCTCACCTTTTAAGCACAAGTATGGCACGTCAACTCCCAGCACACGGACAGTGCTCACACCTGACTCAGATGATGAACATCAGAAGGTCATCGAGGAGCACAAGCATGAGAGTTCGCCACATCACCAATGGTGGGAATGGCTGCTGAACCCACCAGGGTACTTCGAGATTGGGTTCCCAGTCACACAGGAGGCTGCGGAGATCAATTCGTGAATGAGGGAGATGCACGAGCAGAAGCAGGCACGGATTGAGGCTCAGGTGAGGTGCATGTATGTCTCGAGGAAAATGACATGTCTGATGTTGTTGTGCATGCAGTCATGATGGCGATACAAGAGACGGTGATTGGGATGGTCAATGCAACTACACATGGAGAAGGTACGTCAGTTGAAATGGCAGATTGGAATCTCAGACACTTTTGAATGTACTCCAGAAATGTTCACACATATCGCAGTCATCGTAAATTGTGCTGCCTTGCTCAAACGTCATGATCTGATGCTATATCAGACACTGGAAGCACACTCCATGGACATTACACGTATAAACTTATACCTCATTCATGCAGTGGGGCATTATCTATTACCTCTACTGTGCTTCTGCTTTGTTGCTCTCGATGGTCGCATTCTGTGTCGATGCTGTGTCGATGGGTCGGGTAGGGTGAACATTTCATTATTTAGAATGAACGCCAGCAAGAAAACAATTGCTATGATATCAAGACTACGGATTTACTTTTCAGTGGGTATCAAGCAGAACCTAGGAAGGGCCTATGATAGACTCACGAATGGTCAAAATACGACGTCGCCATATCACCAGGGCTACACAGAATGAACAGTTCTAGCAAGCCTTGCTAATGTGCCCTTCTTTTATCATAAGAGCACACTCCTCGGTGACGGCAACAGTAGCTGCCACAAGACGAGTGCTCAAGATATGTGCAAACATGCTCAAATCAGCAATCCGCAGTCCCCACACTCCATGCACCTGCAGTCTGTTATTGAACACCCCACCTACATGAATACTGCCATCTTCCAGCACCATCCTGCATAGACAAATAATGGTACGACCTCTGTGCATAGCGACGAATGAACTCGTTGGCGTCAGAGTCAAATTCGTTCAGCGAAACGAGATAGTCATGGGTTTGTTTAGCCTCTAGCAGCAGTTTGTTCTCTGAGGATCATCGTGAGGGTCGCTTGAAGCCAATCGAACCATTCCTTTTGAGGTCGAACGCAGCAGTATCATGAGGAATTCGAGGCCGCCATCATGTTTGTTGACTTTTGCTGCCGCTGCGGTGCTCCAAGCGATCCACAAATTATGTATCTAGCCAGCAAGAAGAGTTTGATCGAAAGCCTCATGTATGGACATGACTTCAATATCAGGTATACTCATGAGCAATGAGGCCTCCTCGTCTTCCTTGGTAGATGTGATAGTACGAATGTGTGCATCGAAGAGCCACGACTGGAGAAAGATGGATAGCTCAAATACAGGAGTGAGCAGGATTCTGAGCCCAAAGAAAATGTACAGGAAGAGCTTCCTTATGACCAGCCAAGGTCATACTTGCAGCTGTATCACAGAGTCACGTAGTGGCACCCGATATTGCACAGTGACATCCAGGTAGTCTTGTTAGAGAAAATGCACAGAATTAGTGCGACTGATAAGAATAATCGGAGGACTAAAGTCCACCAGGTGAGGCCCTACCCCAGCCAGATGCTTCATGACTAGGATGCCATGCTTCTCTAGATGTTCTTGAGGGCCAATCCCACTGCAGATGTTTTTGAAAATATCAGGTACAACAGCTTTTATTGGAATGGAGTTATCATCTGAGCATTAGGATCTGAGAGGATGTGATAGGATTGGCCAACAATATCACTTTCCTCCATGCCCCAGTGAAACTTGATGACAAGTGTCCATCAAGGGCCTGGATACAGACACCCTCTGCCTCTGGAATATCCTTCTCACCCTTTTGCACATCAATGCAAAGCACGGCAGTGCATGTAAGTGCATCTTGGTGCAGCCTTGTGGGGGATGGAGAGGAGAGTAAAGATCATCCACATATGTAATCCCTAATGCCTTTGTGCCTTCGATGATTGTAAAATATACTAATCAACACTCAATTGGGGTTGCTAGCTCAATTTGTCAGCACTCACACAGTAGTATCCCCATACGTTTTGCTTGTACAATCTAATTTGCCAGGGACCTGTACAAATTATGCACCCACAGTTCCTGTAAGTTTAAGGAAAACTGAGTAGACACGCTATGAAATGCGTCGGCATGTTCCAGTTTCCTCCGATCGAGGTCTGTTTCAGACTTGATGAAGTACGGCCTAATCTCATCGTGGCTTCATTCTTTATGCCCCACCTGGCTCCACGAGGAGTACTCTGTGGGAAAGCCATGTGTGTACAGCATGGCGTTGAACTTGAACGAGCCTCCCAACGAGTTACCTCCAGCCAACTCGAATGCGTGCCCATTGACGTGTTCCTGTGGTACAGACTTCCAGACATGTGAGCGTGAGCCATCTGATGTGAATTAAGAGGAGAGCAATGGTACGTGTGTGATCCAAGAGTTCTGGACACCTCTGCATCCCACCAGCAGCACTGTCACAGATTCATCTTTGATGAGCCTGCCAGTGACTCAGTGAGCACGTTCCAGTGGTGCCGTCTCCTATTGTCCAGTCAACAACTCTCCAAACCAATCTGATATGCAGGTTGACTGACCAACTATGACATGGTCATGGACGTCCTCGAGCTCTTGCACGGAGCATTCCAGGTACGATGAGAATAGCCACATCCAACAGGCAGCAGTGCTTTTGGGATCACCCCAGAATCATCACCTAGAAAGAATGCAGTGTTATGTATATAGGATTCCTTCGAGAATTTCTTCTCATATTCGAATGTCATCTTCGGGCATCAGCTGCAACCTTGTCGAGTTTTGATATGTTTCAGGTCAATCTCTGTAGAAACAACGGACAGAGAACAATGAGAATCCAGCATTGCCCAGCCTAGCTAGTCAACAAATACTTTCTGTGGCCCGGTCTATCACAGCAAGTAGAGCTAGTGTACATTTACCCTCAGGCAAGCTATACTCGTCCACAGGCACTCTCCTCCAATTACTCTATGACCTTTATAAGTCGACTATGGCATGTCAGGTTGCATACAGTCAACTTATGATTTTAGGGATGCAACTGAATTTCAAACAATCAACAACAGAGCTGGATATTCCAAGTCTCACCCACCCACCAAAAGCAAGTGTCAAGAACAGCCTGTGTCCAGCCTTGTCGCAGGCCATAGCTAATTTTGGAGCACTCATCGAAAGGTACTAGTGAGAATCCAGCCTAGCAAGGCCATCAGCATCAAGCAACAGGTGCATCTACTTCTTCAGTACTTATAAGACTACGTCGATCACCAAACGTCCGTTCACTGTAACGCAGTAACTCCATGCCCACAGTTAAGAAGCACCATAGCTTTATGCATCTACATGTGGTAGATTAGGAATCTGCACAGACATCTCAACACTATGACATGCTCAACCTGATGACTAGATGACTAACTCACTTGTGGACAATGAAGGCTATGATACCCTGCGAAAATGTGAGCACTGGATGTCCGATAGACATGCAGAGACAATGGGATCAGTAATGAAGTGACATGAGCAATCATCCGATGCCAACATCGACGAAGAAGACGTACAGCAAGATCCCGTGATTCAGTCCATCAGATGGCATGATTAAATCAAGCGACTGCCATACATGCTCATCAGTCCATGCACATAAGTGCAAGTGGATTTAGAAAGTCCATGATCAAATATTTGTACAGGCCATATGCAATCATTGTCCAGGAAAGCGAGTTGGGAGGCATGAACTGAGAGATCATGATTCGTCGAGCTATCAGCTGCAATGCTTGAAAATATACCATAGCAAAGCCACCTGCGAGGGTGGAAACCAGTTATATCTGAATATATCACACGTACCAGAAGTTTCAGGATAATGTTGTCATTTGGTTAGGTCATATAGTTCATGTCATGGGGTAACTACGTCAGCACCAAGGTCTCAAGCCACATGTAGTTGAAGATCATACATAGAAGATTGACTGCACCATCATCATTCCATGAAACCTAGTATATCGACATGTCAATGAGTCTCCAGGGAGTTCTTCTGGAAGAACAAAGGCTTACACTATGCCCAACAGAAGACTGACAAATGTAGCGCCCATCATGGGATTGAGGTCATTGAGAGCCATGGCAGTGACCAAAGCAAGAGAGATCAGGGACAAAACCATGCCGTGGTCAGCACCATCTCCTCTTGTATACTCATTCGAACAACTCAGTCTCTCTGACAGCATATCTGACACGCGCTTTACAGTTGATCATCCCAGCATTGGTGGCTCAGCAGCTGCATGACCAGGCTTGCAACAGAGTGACATAGCCAGAAAATGGGCAAACAGTCCAGCAGTATCACCAATGATCAATGCACGAGTTGATCTTTAGGCACGAGCGTCCATGGCTCAAACGCATATGACCACGCCAAGACTTCGCTTGATCATCACTACTGACTGACCATGTCTCATAATGGCAAACGATGAACTCATCGGCATGGAAGCAAATTTTGCATCGCCGGATCAACTAAGTTCTACTAAGTGAGATACAGGTGAGGTCTAGCCTGCGGCAGTGGGCATTGGGTGAGCAGGATGCACAATTGATTTACTGCACCATACGCTCAGGGACTCTGCTGAAGGAAAATATCCTGATGTACATTGCAGCTGTGCACTACCATCATCATACATCAGAATGTTGGCGCGTGGTCTTCCGCTTGATCAAAATCTAGAAGTATCAGATTTGTGTTATGGGACACGGAAATTGACCTTTTGAAATGTACAGGAAGGGCTTTCGTGCACTACGTAAGAGACAATGTATGCATTGCGATAGGTCCTCAGTTTGACACATACCAGGTGGTGCTGCAGCAGCAAATGCCAGGGCACAGCCACCTACTTCCAGATGCTCATAGAAAAGGCTAGCTATGAGGCTGTAGATCAGGGAGAGGTTGGGCCTGACGGAGTGCGCATACATCTGCGCTCCTTCTGAAAAAGGACGTAAGGTTCAGTTGTGGACGCAGGACATGTGACCAGAAAAGAGAAGGATTGTATTGACGATGCCTGGGTGGACGAGCATCAGATGATTGGAATGCCCTCTGCATCAAGTCTTCTCTGCAATTCGTTTACGAACAGGATCTCCACCAGTTTGGTTGTTCTGAATCCATGCACTTTAAATGCACAGTATTGGTGGTACTGAGAAGGTGAGTAATATTCATCACTGTATTCAACATTGAAGTCCTCGACGTTGTGGAAGCGCACATCATTCAGAGCATTGAAGTGCTCCTTGGAGGGGAGCTGTAGATAATGTTAGCGATCAGTTAGCAGTGTGCGCGTGCCACCCCCAGTTAGACAAGAAACCAGTGGCCATTGCTACCTCAGCTCCACAATTTATTGTTCTTTCTACATGGCGACGGACACAGCTAGCATAGGGCTGGTGCAGAATGCGAGTGCATACTGGTGACAATGATGCCAAATGGTTTATTCACCGTCAAAATGCAGCCACATGCTCCACCTCCTCTGTTCCTCCTCATCACCCTCAAACACCCAATTCACCCTCTTGATGTCCGCAAAACTCCCACTAAACTGCGGCTCCTCATACGCCACGTGAAAGCTTGTGTGCGTATTGTACAGAGGCAGCCTCCACTTTAGCTGGCACGAACATGGCATTGTCAGTTTCAATCACGAGCACAATAACGAAGGCACCTCGCATCTGTTTTTTGAGACCGTGAGAGGTAAAAGGTGCAGTAGAGGTTGTTGTGCCGTGCGTGCTCGAGAGAGCTGTTGAATAGTACATATCTACACCGCCCCGACAGTTAGTCAAAGCCTGCTTGGAAAATGGAGCTCACACACCGTATCGGAACTTTAAGCTTGTTCACGAGTTCGACGCAATGTCTCCTCATCTCATTGGTGCAGTTCGTGTTATCTAGTGCATGCTAAGAAATTTCAAAAATTGTGACAGCAGAATTACATGCCAATCACATGGCTTTTGCCATCCTTGACCATTCCTTGTGCAGCCTTGACACACTTCTCCCTCGTCTGCAATGTGTCTTCATATGTGGACATAGCCCACAGGCTCAGAATGTCTGCTGTAGAATGATAACTTCCAATTGGCGGGTAGCTGATGAAGACCACTATCTCAGGCTGCTGAGTTGACACGAGGAGAAAAGATGTGGATGCAGGTAAGACTCGCAGGGCTGCCCAGGATGAACAAAATAGAGCAGGGAGTTAAATGCATGACATATGATCTTTGAGCAGTGTAGACATATGGAATCAGGTGAGCGTATATTGTGCTGGGGGAGCTTAAAAATATCTCTGGGAGGGATAGACTGCAGCTGTTAGAACCATGCAGAAGACAGAACCCAGCTATCTCATGTGTTAAGAATGGCAGATTGATGTTCAGTGCCCATTTGCGATCCATTGTGGCATGGTCATGGGAATGGCCTGCGGCACCTCCGACGAGAAAGGAATGCTCCTTGTCTGCGAAAGTGGTGGTTCAGCAGCTCAAGACTGACAGTGCACACACAGCCTGCATACCAATCTGCAAGTTGTCTTCTGTGAAGGTATATTCGAGTTCATACCACATTCCAGGCATTGGCCTGCAGTAATCATCATGGGCTACAGACACTAGCAGGTGGAATGGAATATCTGGGAGCTATTTTGCATCAAACTGTGTATAATTTAACATGTTTGGTGACACTGTACACACAGCTGCACCGATCGCAGGGATCTTCTTCTTCCAGTCTGCCAATGCCATGCTGTGCATGGCCTGATCTGTAATGATGACACTTGAGTACCTAGTCATGGTGTCAGCTATGGTTGTGGCTGGCAGTGATGCAAGTGAGGGATGTGTGTCTAGATCTGACTAAGTGCATTTACAAACCCTTTCTCATGCACCGCCTTCAGCTTGGTTGGGTTGATAGGTCACCACTGTTGGAATATGGGTGGCGCATTGCCATTGCTTTTCTTTGGAAAGCTGGACTGAATGATGCAGCCATTAGTATCAAAGGCAGCGACTTTGGGCTGAGACTCGAGAATCCTATTGACTCCATGCAAGGACATCTGCCTCAGTCCGAGGGCAGGCTTCATCCATCGAAACATGCATTGGTCACTGCTCGTACTATCCCCGGCCTCTCACAAATGGGAAACACTCCAACATGAAGCATGAACCCACCAGGCAGCACTATGGGCCTGTGCTGGACTTACCCTTGATGACCTTCTTGGAACTGCCATCTTCAGCATCTTCTAATCGATTTGCAATAGATCCAGGTTCTGCAGGTCAATTGAGCTTCGCATTGTAGGTGGGAGAATCTTGAGCTCACGTCTGATGGACTCGGTGAATATAAGACACTTTCAAAGCCACTAGAAACAGGGAGAGGCCGGAAAGTGAAGGGGCCAGTTTAGGAGGATTACAGTAATAGATGGCAGTGATTGTGTATGAGTATGGCTCACACAACAAGCAACCCTATAAGGATTAGTACGGGTGAAGTTCCAAGTGAAAACACCACCTGCTGGACGTACTTCTGTTCCTGGTTCAGCATCAGGTCCCTGCTGCTCGCAACATGCACCCATTCCCTGCTCGCATCAAATGCAGCCTTCAGCGTGCTCACTCACATGACCGGCCCATTGGTCATGATGTACATACCATGCAAGCCCCTCCCAGCCTCACTCGTCTGGACCTCCTCTGCCCACTGCATGATCTTCTCGATAGTCTGATAGCAGTGCCATCTGTAGATTTCCTGCTTCTCCTCAGAGGTGACCTCGTGTGGCTTCTTGGACCTGTCAGGGAGGCTGCCGAAGGCATTGTAACCTGTGTAGCTCGAGTCTCAATCAGCGAGGTTCCAGCAGTGTGCTTCAAACTCCCATGGCAGGCATGCAGGACGTGAAGGAAGGGGATGGTGGAGTAATGCTGTATGGTTGTATGAGTGAATGGGAAAGAGGAGGGGAGAAGGGTTTGTGTGAAAGAGGGGAGGATCAGTTCACGATTCTTGTCGACTACGAGCTCTATGAGGGTGGGACATGCATCTGCAATGACAGTCCGATCAGAGACGTGTATGCAAAAATACTGACAGTTGCGAACAGGAACAAGGGTGGGTACAGTCATTGAGGAGCCAGCTGTGCCCATGCTACTGTGCGAAATCCAAAGAGGTGTTAGCGCTATCCCATACAAGGTTGTACTAGCTGAAACAAGGAGGTAACAAAACGGTGATCTTCGTGATCTTGCTTTCTTATGATTATCATACACAGTATAACATTTGACATTCAATTGTAGGGATGCACACTAATGCACACTATCTATACATGGTACATTGAACGGAAAACAACAGAACATAGTCTGTGACCTGCATTGCAGTCTATGCATTAATATACTACTTATCAAAATTTGAAGAAATCGACATACTTTCAATGGCTTCCAAATCATCAGACTGCCATCCAGTTTTGGTTTGGCAGCCTGTCAGATACCATCATGAGGTTGGGCAGCTGCTCCCAGATAGTCCGATCTTCAGCCTCAATGCAGGAATTGATTCAAGCAGTGCGCATGCCACACAGCGGTGAATCAGCCTTCTGAAGTCCTGCAGATAGGTGCCAGAGAAATCCTAAGACGTCATGTGTGACCTCATGACTGTCAGACCAGATGTTGGACCACCTCTGGTCACATTCCATATGGGTGGGGCAAAGAGGGTTGACTCTGGCAGTGAAGATTGTGGTATGGAACTGCGTGAACTGGTAAATGAGCCGCTCCCATGCCCTATGCAACCGGGCATGGAAATCACTGAACAGACAGCTCCAGCTGTCATCTGCCCCCAAAATGCCATGTTCGATGGTCTCCAGGTCCAACAAGCATGCCAGGTACATCGCAAAAGGTAGCAGTATGGAGCAATTGATTGTTAACGCCACATCGATGACGTTCAAGCAGTTCTCAATTTTATACATCAACCAGTTGCTTGTCAATGTGCTGTTAATATTGAATTTGATGTTTTGATACCCCTGGCACGTCGATGAAAACGCCTCCATAAGGATGACCAAGGCTCGATCAACGACATCGGGAATTCTGAGCAAGTGTCCCTGTTTAGCCGCTGTGGTGACCTGCGCAAAGGTGAGATCATTGTTCGCTAGTGCAAACCTTTTTTTTATGATATCAGGACATCAGACAGTGATCACAAAGCACTAACCTCACCGTGTACCAAAGAAAATGTCCATCAATACCATGCCCTCAGACATGTGCAATGGCACATGAACCACCGGAAGCCCTTAGCAGACCTCTCCCTCACCATGCCCAATAGCCTCCAAGATGGTGCTGATGGAAGTCTGGAAATAATCTGACCCCTGGCGCAATGCTCCGATATACGCATGAACGCCAGTGTGGCATCGAAGACTACAATGACATTTCCATCAGAGAAAGAATGGTTTTAATCAACAGCGATCACAGTATTGTTTAGCATGATAGACAATGGTACAGCAGACATTGGAAGATTTGGGTAGAGGAAACAGGGAGGTTGAGGAAACGGAGGGAGGGGTCGAGAAAACCTGAAGAGTCGAGAATGGCTGCAGATGGTGGAAGAAGATGCAGATTGAGTGGGAAATTGTGTATCGGCTAATGGAGTGCACATGGCCATGTGTTGGTTTGCTTCTCGCTTCTCGAACAACTTTCAGAAGATTGTAAATAACAGAAATATCCACAAATTCTGCTCAGTTTGAATTCATCAAGTGGAAGGAAGGAAGTTGCTCACCGTCAATTGTTCGAGACATACAAAGTTTTGCAGTCTCTCTAGATCTTCCAGCACACTCTGAAGCTGTGATCTGGGTTCTAAAGTCAGATCCATGCTAGACAGCTCATACACTGTGTGCTGGAAGCATTATCTTGTTTCGGTCATTCAATGATATTAGGAGCCAAATACTACCTTCCACCAAAAATCTCACAGTGCGTGAAAAGTATCACATGAGTGTCGGTGTTCTCAGCTACATGCCAGATGCCCGGAGAGGCACCTGTGTGCTCACAGAGTCTAAATTGCTCGCAGCTATGTGATCCGCTCTCGTGTCTGCTTTTCACTCTGAACATGATGCCAAGCTCTGAGGAGTGAAGTCATCAAAGCATACAGGACATCTGGCATGCATGAAGAGCTTTGTGCCACCAGGGAGGGTCACACTGTGTATTTGCTGCAGCAACATTGCCAATCATGAAAGTGTTTGTATTTGTTCATGTTTATAATCCTCGGCAGACACCCAGAACTAGATCTACACTCTAAGTAGATCTTTGCCCGCCGAGGATGCAGTGGGGATGGTATATGGCTTGGAGGACAGCGTAGATTTGACAGACTTGTGGTGGATTTGCATGCAGCGTGCCGCAATGACCAAGGACCCAAAGGCGATTAAGTTATTGGAGTCGCTGTATCGTGCATACACATGCATATGTTGAAAGGAATGAAACGCTGACACTTCCCGGATGCACAAAGCCTCACCGGTCTTCATGCAGCCAAAGACTCCGAATATTAGCACTGACCAAATGATGGTAGCGGTGAGCATCCTTCATGTGTATCAACAGAATTTTCATCTGAAGCCTCAATTGCAGGATGGTGCACACCCTCTTGAGTGGAAATGGGTGATTTTCGCCGTGGTGGTCAGTATCAACTCATATGCCAAGGATTTATTGCTGAAAGGAGCAGAGAAGGACGTGCTTGCATTCAAAGATTTCCTCCTGCATGATCTCCAGACACCCGCAGACCACATCAAGCTACTTCGTGATTATATGGCTATGCGCCAGTGCATTATGGACACATTACACATGCACTTCTGTAACAATTCTGACATCTGTCCTGGAGATGCAATCATATTCTACTTCATGGGCCACGGGTCCAGCCACGACCTTCGTGGCAAGGGAGCTGTCAAATGCATTATATCCATCGATAATGCACCAATTTGTGAGCATGAGCTGCACATCTTTCTCAAGGATTTGTCCCACATGAAGGGCAAGAACATTACGCTTATCTTTGACTGCTGCTTTGCTTCTGGATGCACACGGGACGGTTGGCCCGCCCACTCTGGATCATCAGGATCATATTCGGGATCACAGAGAGCTCAATTTATGAATTCGTTCTTTACCGCTGCAAGTCAAGGCTCATCAGGATCGGGTTGTGTGCGCTGTTTAGTGGATGATGACTGCATGCTCACGATTGATTGAAATATCAGGAAATTCAAGGAGGCTATGTCACTGTATGCACAGGAGCACCTGCTTGACGAGTCAGAAGGATGATGATAGAGGACCAAGCAAGGACCAAGCACCACTTTTTCCATCAGGCACAGCGTGAAATATCTTCAACACATCGGGGATGCACAGCAACATGCTGCTAGCATAGCTAACAGTGGCCAATGCTAAAAAGGTGGATTCATGCGTGTGGGCCGGTGAATCCAGCAGCAACAGAATCAGTCTTATCACTTCTCATCGGAGTCATCTCCTAATGAGAATCCTCCTGGCATCTTATTGCCATGTCATGTCTCTTGAATCTTTCATTGGCCTCTGCATTTTGCCTCTCGACCCAGTCTTCAAGTATACCGCCTTTCTTCAACATGCTGTTCCACTGCAGATATATAATATGAGATTCCAAATATATAACTGAATGCAGAGAGCTGACCTCATCTCTGGCAATGATACTGCCTTCCTGATGCTCCAATGCCCACCAAGCCAGCCTGTACCATCATAACAGGTTGCTGTCCAACATGTTAGAGAAATTCAATGTGGGAATGCCAACTAACATCATGAACGCACCCTCTTGTTGTCCACATGCAAGAGGGGAGTGATGAAGCCTGGCCCAGAAGAGTCGTTCAATATGAGAAATGTTTCAGTGCAGTCGATAATGACCAAATCTGCAGCACATATCACAATCGGTAAGCCATGGTCAGCTCAGAAGAACAGCCAGACACTCACATGGATCCTGCCGTCAGAACCACCAGAGTATATGTACTGCTGGCTGGTAGTCTCTGCTGGACTGAAATGGCACCAAATGAGGGTCCATAAGACTTCATGACCTGTGTATTGCATGACACTGCAATCCTGTAGATGTGATCTGTACTGAGGTTAAGGGTACATCGTGACAGAATTGGCTCTGCAGGTCATGGCATAGGAGGAGGAAAGGGACTCTGCAGAGGTCGTAGCTCTTGGTGCTTCACTTGGAATGCAGAGACGGGCACAGTCACCAAGGCAAGCTTTAGACCACACTTCTCGATGATGCTAGAGAGGAGGCCCCAGATGGTCTCAGAAGCAAGGCAATATTGCTCACTATCGTGCCCGAATCTCACAGTGAGCTCGATGGCTGCAAACTTGTCCTTTGGTAAACTTATCATTTGGCATGTCATCTGATTCCAGGAAGCCAACTACAGTAATTGTCTCCTCTAGGAATGTCTGGGATGCAGAGGATGGGATGGAGAAGATGTCGATAATGTGAGGAGCCTCAGTTGGAAGCTGAGATTAAGAGAATATATGTGAGTATGAGTGATGTGCATGATCAAGGTATGTCGGGATGAGTGTGGCAAGCGAAGATGGTGATGGTTTCTCGGAGAGCAAGAAGGATTCCTTGAACAAAGAGGGGATGATACCTAGGAATCACACAATCGGTCAATTGAACTTCAAGCTGAGCCATGTACAACGTACCTACAGCATCCTCCTCGTCAATGCTCAGCAGCAATGCACTTCCCGGTCCCTGTCTTACAAATGCTTCTAGATTCGATGAGCCTGCGGAAAGTTCCAAATCATCCACAGACTCATTACAGTCCAGTCCAAAATGGCAATACAATGTGGTGCCCGCTTGTCATGCAGACAATTGTGAGGGTAGAGATACAGGTGCATTCAACTACATGCACACTGCTTGAGATACATCAGCCAGGAGCAGACAAATGAATGTCCCTTCAGGATGCAGGTTGGCAGAGACACGGTGCGCGTCTCCGAGTCACAGATGGTGACCGCTAACTGTCCGGTCCAGACGCAGGCAAGGGATGCATTGTGGTCAGTGTGCATCTGCGTGAGGCTGATGAGGAAGATGCTGAGGCAGCTTACTGTTATGCATGGTATCAGCATCAAATTGAAGAGGGGAGAGTGATGTTATGTACACCCAAGCCATTGTGATGAACACAGAAGAAAAAGTTCACGTTCCAGGACTGCGCTGCAGGTTGAACGAGAGGTTCTTGACAACGAATTGCACCAACAAAGCGCAGCTGCTCGAAGAATGCATGGTGCTTCTCGCAGAATTGCATGAACTTGTCTCTGGGAAGCCTCATGGTCACCCGGTTCAGTCACTTCTGGCACGAGAATGTTATAGTGGCATATAAGGGCTGGGGATCTTTCTGGGTCTCTTCTGTGAGGAGCTCATAGTCCAAAAGATGCAGCAATAGTGTTGGCTTGTCTGTAATAGTCCCTCCGGGGTGTGTGATGAGGACACAAACCTTGGAGACTATGGACTTGACACAGTGGTGATGAGCGAGGTTGAGAGCGCATGGAAGCTGGGCCGCACTGATGCTAGGCAAGGACAACATTGCGCAGCTAGAGTGTATCTGGGAGATCATCATCCAGAGGCTGCTGCTTGACCCAGAGAACGTGTCCTTGCATGATGTGGCAATTGTGCGGTGGACGGTGTCCCTTGTGGCGAACCGGGCAGCGAGGCTCAGTGGGACCGCTGTCGCTGCAATTCTCATGCAAATGGGCAATGCGAAGCTCAGAGGGGGAGCACCAGCACTGAAGGAGAACCTCATCATTGGTGTCGATGGCAGGTAGACTATGTGAAATGAAGTTTTCAGGAGTGAAGGCTGATGGTGATTCGCAGTCTGATTCAACACTACCCAAATTTCGAGGCTCAGCTGTGCTCTTCTCTCCAGTCCTTGGTGGGTGAGGCAGTGGACAAGTGTGTAGAGATCGACTTGGCAAAAGACAGAAGTGATGCAGGAGGTAAGTGTTTGTTCTTTTCACCGGTAGCATGTTAATTGAGTGTTCATCGCAGCCACGCTATGTGCTCTGCAAGCCATTAAACAGGGTCTATAACCAACTTTTCTCTAGCCAGCATCACAAGGATTGTTCCAATACATACATCTAGTTACCACCAGCACTGTTGAATACGCTATTCCTCAGATTATTGACTCTAGAGGAACACCCAAGGTGGTTGCCTTATTTCCTGCTGTTGTTTTAGCTGTCTGCCCTAGCTGACCAGTTTGGTGGGCCCTCTCAGTCTCATTAATCTCCTTATTGTCACGGATTCACCGTTGCTTGATGGTGGCATCACTATATTGGTAGACTGCAGCATGTAGGGCATCCTCCTGGGCTTAGATTTGAGCATCAGATAAGAATGCAGACTCACATAAGATGCAATGGGCAGGCTGCTCACCCCTACCAGTGCATCCAGTCTCTAGATCTTGGTAGTAACTGTGCATTGAATTGCATCAAAAAAGTGTGAAATTCAAAAAAAAAGACTCACCTGTCGAGATCGCTAGGCAAGTCATGATGAATCGCAAACTGCACTGGAGCAGAGATGAGAGATCATTACTCCCAAAAACAGTGACGCATACTGTTTGACTTGTCTGTTCCCATACCGAACATGATCTGAGTAATGCTTTGGCCAGCTGTGTTTTGGTAGGGTACCTCAATGAGCCCTCATATGGTTGCAATGATTACCTGACATTCGTCCATCTTCCAGCTGTCTAATGTCTCCGCCTTGTCCCTTGAATCCACCTTAGCATGAAAATGTCGTGCATCGAAGTCATGTTCTTCCTTCAACTTGTACGTGATCTCCTCACACAACTTGCAGCTGTGCGCATAGATGATTCCGGTCTCACCAGCATGGCTCTCCTTGATAAACTGTGCGATCTCCTGAAGTGCCACCTTCTTCTTCGGCCACGCCTCATAGTTCAGGTTCGGGCATTTCATCGATTGCGAGAACTCGACACAATGAGAGATTCACAGGAGATGCTTAAAATCATGCTTCACGTGTGTCGTCATGGTCACGGTCAGGGGCCATGATCGGAATGCCCAGAAAACCTTGGCAGAAACCGTCGAGGAACCGATACTGTGATTAGAGTAACCTAAGCAAATCAGTGAATTCGAGCAGATATGTGTCCTACCACATCACGGAAGTTCCAACCCCATTTGACCGCACTGTGGCCCTCATCGAGCACACATCCTTTCAAGTGCTTCTTGTTGTACAGCTGCCTCAGTATCAATGTCAACGCCGAGCTGTGCTTCAGCTTCTCCAGCATCATGTGTATCAAGTTTGGCCGCTGCTGCTTGATCCGATGGAGCAGCCACCAGTGAACATCCACCTCCTCATGCATCTGCTCTGAGTTGAAAAATGCGATGTCGACGCCCTTGTCTTGTAGCGCCGCCATCTGGTTCTGCATCAGCATGAGCAGCGGCCCAATGACAATGACCATCGTGCCCTGTGTCCTGTTGTTCTCGCAAATCACAGGCAGCTGATAGCACAGGCTCTTTTCCCTGAGCCACCCGTGGGCATGAGCATCAGTGAGTCCTGTCTGGAGAGCAGCGTGGTGATCGCCTCGAGCTAGTTCATGCAGAAGGACTCGAGTCTGAAGACGTTGCACAGATTCTGCATGATCTCAGTGTAGTGAGGTGACTTGAGCAGTGCATCATCCTGCTTGGCAGGCAGCGATGATGAGGAGGGGATTCCTATCTTGTTGTAGTGTCAGAGGGCCATATGACGACTGGAACACCACTGTATATAATGTCCGAAAGCACGCATCAAGGACAAGTCTGAATGATCTGATGGCAAGAAGGGCATCGAGGTCGTATGGGTGAATCCGGTAGCAGGCAAAACGGTTGCATATAGGATTAATTTGACTGAAGAGGACTCAGTTTACATCTTCATGTGAATTCGCGATTCGAGAGGGAACCTCCTCGCCTTTCTCTTGTCCCTTACGGTGATGCCGCTCGTTATTCTTCTGAAGCTGCGACTTCACCTTAACATGCTTCAGAGCCAGTGCATTCTCAGCATCAGATGAGGACTCGAATGATAACTGTTTGTTCGGGCATGGGCGGTCAGAGGCTTGACAAAGAGGGATTCGTTGGAACAGACGTCGATGACGGGGATGCTGTTGTCTGCAGCTTTTTTCATTCGGAGCGGTGTGGGTTTCTTCTTGCCAAACTCAGGTGTTGCAAAGGAGCGTAGACCACTGGGTGGTGTGCGAACTGCATACATGATCAGTTTGTGAGCACCTGCATCTGTCATCTCCACACGCTGTGCCAGCTTGGGCAGGCGACCCTTGCACTTGGGAGCAGTGGCTCCAGTGTTGGCTTGAGAGGCGAGAGCGACAGAGGCCCTGGCCTGCTTGCGAGAAGCTGGAGTACGTCCGTGTGCGCTGATGCTGATGTTCTCGGTATCCTCGTGCTCACGTTGGTCCATGTCCATATGCTCGTCCTCTGTAGCCTTCACGTTCACCTTGCCCTTGCTCTTGCTCACCATCTTTCTTTTGCTCTTCACGCAGTCTGCCCACTGTCAGGCTTGCCTTCACTCACGTCTTCATCAATGCTGAGCTCCCAGAGATTCACGTTGCGCTTCTGCTTGCACAGGTTTGTGCATGAAAGCTGGTCGTAGATGCCATGGCAATTGAGCCAGATGCACGAGGTGAGCTTGTCATCTTGAGAAGTCGAGTCAGTGTGAAAGCGGGCGCGCTTTATGTCAGTTTGCAGCAGGAGACGATCAGGACGCCGTGAAGAAATATGAGAAGATTAAACTACACACTGTATGCTTGCCCTCATACCACCAGCCATCGAGCAGTCCCTGGTCCCTGTCTCCTCGGTGAGTTTACTGCAGCATCCCCACAGCATTTCGTACGTCGTCCCAGGATCGATCACGAGCCTGCCACTTCTCGTGGTCCTCCCAACGTGCTCAACCTCGACACTCTTGTCGTCATGCGGCATCAGACAACTCCTGTCATCGTTTTCGACCTCCACATAGTCCTTGTGGCAGCGCACGCAATGTAGAGGATGCGCGTGTGCTCTTCAGAGCTGACGTCTTAGTCTGGATACAATATGTTGTAAATATGGCATTTTGAAATGTAGCATATTATTTGTTTAAAAAGCGAGACATTATTTATTTAACAAATTATGGGTGAGACATGATACTGAACTAAATTTTAAAATTATTATGCCAAGAGCAGTTTTGATTGGCCCGATCATCTGTTTCTAGGAGGAAACATTTTGAACACATGCAGCAGCCACCTGAAAAACATCCTGATTTCATCCGGGAATCACGGTGGCAGCATTTTACAGGCATTATTAATGTTTTCTCAATGCCTTTGTAAAGCAAGCAATGTTTTTCCTGATTGTGTACAAGCTGCACATGCCTCTCTCACCATGGGCACATGGTGGATACATATAGACTGCATTGACAAATCATCTCCAATGTTTCCGCAGAAAACACAATCAATCAAAACATCATGTGACCCTAATGATACGTTTGAAAACATTTTGGATGCACAGTAATGCCATCAATAATGAGGCAGTGATGATTCTCACTTGATTCAACCATTTTTATTGATGGAAACATACAAAATGTTACCGGAATCATACCACGTTGATATAAGTGACAGCATTGGACACAAATCTAAATAAAAATTATAATGTCTGCAGAGTTTTTCACTAATGAGAAAGCTGATTTAATTCAAAATGTAACCAGCTACACTTTCATTGAATCACACAGAAGATATTTAGATGGCATTTCGGCAACATTCAAATTATTGTCACCATGAATCCAGCAGAAGCATAAGTCACATCATTGTGACTGTAGTCACAGTGTGTTCACGATGTTCCCGGTGGAATCACAGGTCAATGCCCTCTGTGATGGTGCATTATGACTCCTGCCTAGAAAGGCAAGGAGCTGGCTGCAAGGTGCTGCCTGCGTCCTGTGACTCATCACCAGTGGTGGATGATGATATGAAGCAAGAAGGGGTTTCAAGGACCCTTCGCCTTATCTCACATAAAAATGAAGCTGGGGATACCCAGTTTCTCATAGGTGCTTATATACATGTATGGCAAAGCCCCTGACACTTGTGCTACTGTGAGACCTCTGATACTTACATGTGAACATAATGCCAGAACCAGTAATGGTTCTGGTCTCGCCATGACAACTATCTAAGAAGGGCCGTATTACATCCAATGAGATAATTGTAGAACATGGTGCCACTTTGTGAGCGGCTGAAGTGGGACCACTTATTGAGTGGCCAATGGTGTTGGTCCTATTGGATGTAGCTAATAGGGTAGATGCTGCTATCTGTCGTGTAGCTATTATACCCTGAAGGTATAAGCCCCTTATTCAGTCACATGATCAGGTGGTCAGATTGGGCACTCTGTTGATCACGTGGTAGACACAGTCAGGTCTGCTGTGTAGCTGGTGTTGACTTGTGACAGGTCCAAGTATCTACTGAGATAGTAGATCAGTATGAAGGTGGGCACTTTGTATCCAGTTATAGGTTGACTTATGCAGAACTTTGTGGCAAAAGTAAGTATGTCCAGGTAAAACTGTGATAGGTGGCTAGATGATGACAGTGCTGCCTGCAATCTCATCTGTATGTCGCACAAGCAAGCTGCTGCATGGTGGCATATCTGTCAAGCTCAGTGAGCAATACACCATAAGGTGGTAGGGTCAGTGTCAGCAGTGCCTGCTACGATGAGTGTGGTCACACAATGATCACAAATTCTGTAACTGGTGCTTCATGTTCTGTTGCTCATAGACATACACATGATAATAGTTCATATCCATTGTTTACTGCATGAAGTGGAAAAACAGAGCAGCTAGAAAGGAGCATGATGAATATGTTACATAAAGTACAAGGTAGCGTGCAAGGTTATTGAAAGAAGGAATTACAAGGAACTGTATGTGATTGCAATGACATCTTTTTTTTTATGACAAGGGGATTCTCTTGGCATTTTCATACAGCGAGTTACAAGTAACTGTAACCTAAGACAATAGGTAAGGGAAAATAGACTACATTCACTAAGGGAAAGAGATTATGAGACATGACGAGTGATGGAGCAATCACTTTAGAGCAGACATGATCCACTGATCACTGATTTTGGCAGAGAGCCTTGTGAGCTTCAAATCCACAAGATCCACTACTATTGTAGTGAGAATATGCAATGTCACAATGATGGAGCATTTTGAGTTTTGATGCAGGGATAAGCTGGATAAGGCATGTGGAACAAGTGCATGTTGCTCACAAAGGATTTGAGGGGCCTGATCATGCCCATATGAGGGAAGCTACTAAAAGTTGCCAGAAGAGCAATATGTGGTTGCTGCTCATATATGATAGCAGGATGTACTAGGACATGGTGCAGCATGACAGTGGTAGTTGGAATATGAATCATGTGTGACATTGTGCTCAGACATTTCTCTAGTCATAGAACTCATCTGGGAGGGTGCCACGGGAGTCGCACAGGTAGAATGAAGGGTAAGACATAAATTACATGTGCGCTGCCTCGAGAATATCGTCATCACTGTCAAGGGCAGTGTCATGCTCATACATGTATCAAGTGAATAACTGCATGAAGAAGATATGATACTAATTAAAGTGTGGTCGAGAATGCTGCAACTCACCATTAATGCTGCCCTACTTGCTCGCCTTCTCACCTGAACACCGCTGGTCCATTGTGCACAAAAAGATGGTCAAATTCAACAAGTCATCGTCTGGTGAGGTGAGCTTGATTCTATTGAGCATGTCAGTTCACCGATTAGCACAAAGCACAGCGGAGGAGCCATGCACTGATCAGGGAGCTCACATCTGCAGCGATGTGGGGCCTCTGAGAGCATCGAAAATAGTCACGTGGGTGCATTGACAAGCATGAAAATAATATTTTTCTCCGCTTTGTACAGTATATGCTATCACTGGAGACATGAAGGCATTTGTCACCATGTAATATGTGTGACAAATGTGAACTGGTATTTTATCTTTGTGAAAAGGATCTAGTGCAATTGCAATTACCATTACATATTCTGAGTTTATAACTTAACTTGTCACCATTGCAAATTTGAGTTGACTTATTTTGTCTATACCCCCAAGAGAAACCATAAAATATTGCACAAAGTATATGGCTCTGCTACAAATATACCACTATATGCTTTAGTGTGAGGGCCAATGAGCTAATTTGTGATTGGATACTCTAGGCTGGCATAGTCCTTGTGCAGTGTTTAGAATTGTGTATCCTCATAATAGATAAAATAGATAATATTGATTTGCTATAATGGTATATCAAGTCCCAAGTTTGGAATATGCAATGTTAATTGTGATGGAGATGAATCCTTTTCACAAAGATAAAATGCCAATTCCCATTTGTAAGGCATATTACATGGTGAAAAATGGCTCCGTGTCTCCAGTGTATACTGATCACTTATCAGCAATATAGGTTTTTGTATACTAGTGCGTGGTTGTAAGCCCAGATGTCATACAGTACTGTCAATGAGCGTTCCGTAGCCAGTCCGAAACATCAGTGCTTAACCAAGCTCATCGGGTTTGAAACTCCAGATTTCCATAACAATCTTCCCGGCCCTCTTGCACATGATCACGCACGTCTCGCGAGTGAATGCGATCTTCCAAACACTCTCGCTCGGTTCACTGAGCTCCCTGAGGTACTCGCACCTCCCAGTGTCACGTCCATAGCTGTATAGCCGCACTCGCCCGTCATTTCCGCTCGTTACGAGGAACCTGTCATCAGTCTGCAAACCGGTCACGGAACTGTCGTGCGCGATGAGTCGCTGTACAATTGCATACGATGAGCCGATGGCGAAGGTGATGACACGGCCATCTGCGCCACCTGTTGTGATGATCGTCGGTGACAGCTGGATCTGACATACGAGAGCCGTATGCCCCTGTAGCAATGCAAGGCAATCTCTACAATGGAACTGAACAAGCTATCGATGAGCAAGAAGGATGTACTCACCCAGTTGCAGCATCCCACACCCGTACAGATGTGTCCAACCCCCCTGAAGCTATGCGGACACCGTCGAAAGCGACGGAGTAAATTTGATTGTGATGTCCTCGCAAGACCTGTAGGCAGGAGCCGGTATCGATATCCCAGAGTCGGCAAGTGCTGTCATAACTGCCACTAACAGCCCGCGAGCCAAAGACGTCCAAGCAGCGCACGCTTTGCTCGTGGCCTTCCATCACTCGCAGAAGCCGTCCACGTTGAATGTCCCATACGCGAATGGTTCGATCTCGAGATCCCGATAACGCGATGGGACGCCCATGCAGCACCTTGAGACATCGCACAGTAGATGTATGCCCGCGGAGGATGTAGATACAGTACCTATAAGCGAGCGCACAAAAGAATTAGGATGCAAACTGATGAGCATCGAGCATAGCTTACCCTGACTTGATGTCCCATACGCGCAGCTCCTTGTCGCAGCCAGCACTGATAGCTAGGGCATGAGGCTGGCCCCAGCCATCCGATGCACCATTCGGATCGCTCGGCTTCTCTGAAGGACTCCTCACTCGCGGTCCTTCTTGACTGTCACCCGAATGGAAAACATCGGACGATGATCTTCGCCTCGCCTCCTTGTCGAGCATTGACGAATCGAGACCAACTGCGTGTCGAAGCGTCGGAGGTATAAGAGGGTCATTCAAATCACCGCTTGATCCACTGGAGAACGCGTCTTCAGCCATACTGCTCTCGCTCTCCGTCCGCCGGTCTCTCTCTCGTGGTAAGTCCGCCGACCCTTTAACTAATGCGACCGCCCAAACGCCAGATTCGTGGCCAACAAGCGTACGACTGAGGACGCCCGTCCGCGCGCTGAAGACGTGTATCCTACTATTCGCGAGTCCTATGACAATCCATGACTCGTCGAGCGCGACCGAGGTCGGAATGGCAGACGAGAGCGCGGCAACTGGATGATCAAGTGGAACGCGTTGGAAAGGTGAAGGTTGATGGACCGCAGGTATACGATGTGTCTGCAACAGTTTACCGCCATGAAGCCAGTTCGCGGCTGCGTTGGCAAACGTCAAATCATTCTCGTCTTCACGAGACACCAAACAGACACGCACTGACGGTGTAGGAGTACTGAAAATGTCGGCGATAAGGCAAAGAAGAGACATGGCGTAGCTTCCCAACTCCATGGGAGCCGGGCGAATACGGTGACGAGGCTGATGCTCGCCACTTGCTATCAGTAGCTTCACTACAAACAATTCAGGGCGACTTACCGGATACACTTGTCAACATCCCTCCGTGTACCTCTTCTGCATTGTCCCTCCTCTGTTTCGGAATGGCTAGGAGTTGGTCCGGAACCGAGTATCCGTGAACATCGCACATCCTCTTCCATATGTACTCGTCGTCGAGTAGGCGATTCCACGATCTGCTCACTCTACTCGCGCGAACCAGAGTTTGCGGATCATCAATAAAATTCAGGATATGTAGAGATATCTCTGGTGGTAGATCCCTCAAGAAATCGCGCCTGAGCAGTGGGGTGATCGTAGTGGAGATGAACAAGAGTTCAGCGGGACTGCAGTCCGCCAGCAGCGCTGAGAGGTACTGGAAGCGAAGGGAAGTGGGTAGTGATGCGAATTCGTGTCGAGACAGGTATCCGGGCTCGTTGACGTAGCTGAGACTAGGAGAATCGCAGGCGGGGAGTCGGGGAGAGGGAGCGGGCGTCGGAGGTGAGACGATGGGCATATATAACGTCGAGGATGATTGGAAGGCCATGGCGGTCTGTACGGACGAGGAGGGGGTCCTTATACACGGTCAAAGTAGCACAGAGCGCGACAGAAGAGGACAGCTGCAGAGCAGGGTATATGTTGCTCGAGGGAGCTTAATCCAGCAGACCGGTCGGACGGAACAAGCCAGATATGGTTTGTTCCCGTCGGGCTCCTCCCAGACGCTGCACAGGCGCAGCAGGATGTACGACCACACCCAGTATGCGAAGGTGCACGTACGCTGGTCGTGTTGAGACTGAACGGCGATGTACGACGACGCGTCTGGTTTGGTCGACTCCAAAGCCGGCCACACCCGCGCTGGCTATAACATGCAGTATATTCCCCGTACATAGATATCCAGTACATGTCAAGCGTTACAAGAATGAAATCACAAAGCACAGCGTAGCTTGCGTGCAAAATTCACAGTATATCATCCACTTCCACCTCCTCGCCCTCGTCCTCCTCGGAAGATACCATGGTGAGGTCGATCAAGCGATCCGACAAAGCGTCGGGCTTATCGTTCGGCTCCTCGTTTCTCATCGTGCGACTTCAAATTTATTACAAATGAGCGCACGCTTCCATGATAGCTCACTATAACACACTTACTCCTTTCGAGGACGTGTTTCAGCCTCAGAAACATCCGATTCTTCGTCGTCGTCTTCGTCAGAGCTCGCAGATTCTGGAAGAGTATACTTTGCTTTGGCCGCGCTGATCCACAACGTGTACGTCAACGTGACCATACGACATAGGAAGGATTGGACAACATACGCAGAACGCCTAGGCATCATTCGCGTCGGCGCAGGGGGAGCGGATCGCAGGTCGTCAATCTTGTCCGATCCGGAATCAGCATCTTGGTCAGAGCCCGAAATCCGACGCCGCCTGACAAGTCAAGTCAGCGTGTCCGTAAGTTAGGAGAGTCTACCTGCGTACTTCGCTTTGCCCTTCCTGTGCCTCCGTGGGGAAGGAGGTCGGCTTTCGCGGTCGGAAAGCGGGGGTGTCGTGGTCGTGGCTGTTGTAACGCTTTCAGATCTCCTATAAGCATGATGAGCCATTTCCAAGGTATTTGATGTACACCAACACTCACCGTTTCTTTCCTGTCCTTTTCGCTGGTTTCACGTCTTCCTGTTCGGACTCTGGAGCGATATCGTCCAAGAACTCAAACAGATCCTTTAGATTCTCCAGCTGCCGATATTCCTCCTCGCTAAAGCTTTCCAACTGCTTCGCAAACTTCTTCGAGATGCCATCGTCAAATTTTGCGAAAGCATTTTGAGACACAGCATCTCTGAGCGGGCGCCGCTGAACGAGACATTCAGCACTGCGTAACATCATGCAGCATCCGTCTTACCGATCGTAGATTGCGCGTCAGCAGCTTAAGAGTGCGCAGCTTGTCGTCGTCCAACGTATCCGGTATGTAAAGTTTGCCGAGCAATTGGACCAACGCTTTCTTGTCATCCTCTATGTCACGACGAAATGCATCAGTGAGCTGAATCTCAATACTGTACTTCGAGAAACGGCATACTTTCCATATCCTTGTTGAAGAGCACCTTGACAATGTCGCTTGCCAGATCGACGTGAATCGTGTCATCTGTAATGCCAGACTGTCTTCCTCTCCCGATTGCCCTGGTAAAGAAGTCAGCGTACAATGATGATGGCAGCTTTCGAACGACTTACGCTGCCTTCTGCGGGTCCGTCCAGTCGACAAACATGAGGCCCACTTGCGCCGCAGTGACCACTTCCTGTCCTTCGTCCCATTCTTGCAGCGTCGAGATCAGGTGTTCATATAATGGGATGAAGATCTAACGATAGCGGTTAGATCGCTGGGGCTCGGCAGCAACAAACAAGGCCTGCCTTAGCCATGCGCCGTTGGTTGATAGCAGATGAGTACGAGTAGACGGGGAAGAAATATGAAAGGCACTGCCGCAGCTCTTGATTGTGAGATGTCTCAGGGGAGACATACACCAAAAACAAGCCTTTCAGGACCTACTGCGCCCGTGAACAACAGTTCATGACGTAGGCAAATGAGTCTTACGCGTTCGTCAGTGATCATGCCCGACAGCACGAGCTTGGAGACGCCGACACACAGCAAAGCTTGAATCTTATCCGATTCTTCATTCTCCAAAAGATGAAGCAAAAATTCGACAACTTTTTCGCTCTGTCAATACGTCAATCCCGGGCTACGATAGCGTCTTTGTCGCACTTACACTTGCACTCCCTGGCCCGAGGAAGTCGCCCTCGTGCACCATGAGTATATCGAAGATGATATGGAGGATACTGGTCTTCAGAGATTCTGGAGACGCTTGCACTTGGTTCACAAACAGTTGGAACGAGTTGATGGCCATGCGCTATGCAAATCGTGAGCACGGCTTTAAATGAGACGTGCATAGAACTTACTCTTGCAATCAAGCAGCATAGACCGAGACTGACCAAACCCTTCTGCCTGAGGACAAATTCTTTGCTTCTGACCGCGGGGAGGATAAGTTCGCGTAGAATACCCTCTAGCGTTGAGTTTTCCTCGAATGTCTGTCAACGAGGTCAATTACATGGCCTTGGCACTGTCTGACGACGAGAACCCACCCCGTTTACTCTCTCAAGCATACCGATGCACAAAGAGAGACATCGAGCATCCATCTCGACAGACCGTGCTTCCTGCTCTGGCGCCTCCTCTGAGGTGGACTTTGGCAGAACTCGCATGATCCTGGCTGTCGCAGGTGTCCGCCCGAACTCGCTTTCGCCATCGTTGATATCCCTCTGTGTACCGCATGAGATAGATTACAACGTTTATAGGTATGCCTCACCAGCTCGTCCCCTGCATCGCTTGGGTCCCTGATCTCGTGGATTACTTCGACGACAACCATGATCAGGTCACGCTCGTTCGGAGATAGTGTTCGCAAGACATCGAGGCAATGAGCAACGAGACTTTCTGGCAACGTCTTGTGGGAGACCATGGCGCCTGAAAGGCAGCATCAGCCGATGGGAATTCATCCCGGTAAAGGAGAAGACGTACGAATGAGCTGGAACATCTTTCGTCTGCCGATCTCGTCCGCGTAATCCAGATTGACCGCCAGTTTGAGCATCTCGCCGATCGCAAACTCTTTGTCCAGTCTTTGCTCCTCCTTTCGCGCGCGTCTCTCTTCCTCTTCATCGTCCTGCATCCCGTCACGGAAGAGACGCTCATCGCTATCGTCCTGGATCTCCTGCACAAGTTCGTTGAATGCGTCTTGCAAGCGGAATACGAGCACTGTCACTACGGGCAGGGCTGACTCCAATCTAGCATTATCCTTGGTAGCGATACAGTGGTCAACGAAGACGCGTGCTAAAAACGAGCGCTCTGGCGTAAGAGTCTTCCAGTAGCCATCTGCAGCGATATCGTATTCAGAGGCGCTGATATCGTAGCTGCGTAACGGCTCACCTCCAAATTCCACATTGTCGAATATATCGATGCGGGTGTTGAATACACTACGCAGAGCATCCTCGGCAACAGTCCCTTCGGCCAGGTCAAAAAGCTTGAGGAACGCTATAATGTCTCCACGTATGCCATCTTCATCTTCCTCCTCTTTCTTGACGCCACTGGCGCGCACCGTGTCCACCCATGTTGCAAGGAGCTTCATCGCAGCAGCTTTGACTGCCTCTTCTCGGTCGCCCAATCCGCTGCGTACGATGAACTCACGCTGTGCTATCGTCAGTGCGCGTGGATGGGTGAACCCAATACCAGAACCTGATTCTGATACGCAGTGCGGCTCGAGGACGGCGGCGTAGACTAGCTTTCTCACGACCGCGTCGACATCACGAGCACGAGAAAGAAGAGAAGATAGAGTTTGTGGAGCCAACGGAAGGTTGACCACAGCCACTCGTCGTACATCACTGCGTCTGCGTTGAGTGCAATCATGAGCCAACGTACGGGTAGACTCACGCAGAGGTGTCGCATGTCATGGCCTCGACCAGGCTTTCCAGGATGCTGGGCTCATCCTCCTCCAGCTCAGAAACGTCTTCTGATCCAGCCAGTTTCGACAACGACAGAATGGCTTGCACGCGAATCATGGGCTCCTTGTCTCTGATTCGCTCCATCAGAGACGAGCGCAGGGACGTGTACGTCTCCTCGCTGCATGCATATTAGCACCGCGCTCGCGTCATCATGATCATGAGTAGACGTACTCAATCTCTCCGAGGTGTGATATCATCTCAGCAATGCATTGGAGGACGCGGAAGCGGACATTCTTGTCCTTGGCAACGCAGCCAGGCAGGAGAAAGTTGAGAATGCGAGCGACGAATTTCGATGCAGTGGTGTCTTCGTCCTCATCATGGGGGCCATTTCCACGTTCTTCGGAAGCTGATCCTACGTCAGAGCTGCCTGCGTGCCGCAGTGATGCCACACACCCTTCTCATTGATGAACTTTGTGAATCCGCCAATAAATCTCATGATTCTGTCAGCAGGCGTTATGCCTTTCTTGAGCGGCAGAACGCGGCCGATCATAAGCAACATGGCATCTTCAAACGCGCGTTCTCCGATGAGCTTCGTGCTCCGGCCATTCTGCACGCTTTCGGTGATGGTGGCGGCATCTGTCTGCAGCTTGGCGAGGGCGACAATGTTCTTCTGATGGTTGGCGGTGGTCGACTGAGCCTGGTCAAAGATGACTGCGACGGCGTTGGGCAGAGCGTCGAGGGTGGGTGGGGCAGAGATGCGTGCAGGCATGGCGAGATGGAGGACGAGGACGCGTTCGAGTTGAATGAACGCGTGCAGCGCGTGGCACGTGACCGCCGCATGGAGGCGACCTTGCGGTGGCCGCATTTGAGATTAAGAGCATGTCTTCACTCTGGGTTGTCTTCACCCGTCCACGTCGACCACCACCGTGCGCTCGATGCGCTCTTCACAGCTATCCTCGCCCTCGGCTAACTCGCTGGCGGACTATACCCGTCGACTCCCTCTCGCACATCTACCCAACCTCGACACTACCACCAACCAGGTTATCTTAATCACGCCCGCAACTTCCATCCGACCTCGCAAGACCAAGAAGAAGCGACAGCCGGACAGGACAGAACGCAACAGCAATTCGGAGGAGCCACGATTCACCACCTCGGTCAAGCCTGCTGTCTTGCGGCGGGTGCCGGCAACGCCTACTAGTCCAGTCCGCGGTCGCAAGGCTGCACCAGCCACTCAAGCTCGTCGTGTGGCTGATCCTTTGCTTGACGGTGAGTTGTGATGTGACATACCCTGTTGCATCTGACATGTACGGCAGTCCTAGACACTGCCGTACCCGACTACCCTCCGCCATCCTTCCAGGAAGCCATTTCATCTGCCCTCCCCTATGATCCTTCTTCCACAGCCGACGACGGCGCGTCGACCTCTATTCTTTCCCCTGGAACGAGTGCGCCCTCCTCGCCTGCAACGTTTCCAGTCCACAGCATGGAGCTAGTGACCCACGAGTTGTCAACTTTTGGCCAGGTGACTGCAGAACCTCCTCGTGTGCAGGAGGTGCCCTCTATTTCTCGTGACTCGGCAGAATCGGGATCTGATATATCAAGCATCGAAATGATCAATTTCGAACGTCCACAGCTGTGGGAAGCCGATCGGAACCGTGGGCTCAATCTGCAAGAAAGAGTGGCGCTCGAGTTGGTCAGGCAGCAGGCTGCCGAATCGACGGCTGCCCTCACAACCTTCAGCTCGCCTCGTTCATCGTCTCCAGCATCGTCTCCACCTCCCACCCCCACCTCACGTGAACGTCACTGCTCTCATTGTGGCTCCGTTCGCCCTCTAGAACAGCCCAACGTGCAAACACCTGAAGGCAATGATGACGATAGAGGTAACTCGTGGATACGTGGAGGTACTAAGGGTCGTCGTCAAGGGTCTATGGCGGCACACTTGCGGGCCCTGCACGATGCTTCATCGGCACCAACATCACCATCTTCCGTCAGTCCGACATCTATGACGAGTTCTTCAAATCCATGGGCGAGCAATCTTACGCTCACGCTCAGCAGCGTGTTCATGTCACATCGTCCCCCTGCTGAAACCTCCAATCTCAAGAGAAAGGAAAGTTTCGGAGTACGCAGGTTATTCTCGAAAGCGAAAGAGCCTGAGTGCTCTCCTGAGCAGCCAACCGCCGACGGGTTAGACTCGTGGGAGGTTATAGACGTGACATCGCCTACATCCGCGGAAAGCCTCCCTGCAGAAGATTGGAGTATTAAGAATGCTCGGTCGTCCGCGAGACAGAAGCCGTCCCAACAGCCTCTAGCATTCATCAGTCGGCCTCTGCGAAAACAGGGACGGGGCGCGGTCTCACCCTTCCCAGTTGCCTCTACACACGCCCCACCCACTCTTCCGCCTGAGAAGTCGCGCGGAGGTCCGCATGCCCCGGCGCCAACGGCCAACCCACCTCAACCTCCAAGGTACGGTCTTCCGCCACAGGCCTCTGAGCGAGCTCCTGGCACAATTCCGACGCTGTCATCTGTGCGCATCATGCCTCTCGGTGTAAATGACCAGAATATACAGTCGCCTATAGGTCCTCCTTCCGTATTACATGCCCCATTTAGCTCTGAAAAGCGCATGTCGGATCCTATGTCGAGACATGTCCCAGTCTCTCCCGCTCACCGTACCCCCCTGAAGAAGTCTAGTCTGCCTCTTTTAAATACGATGAAACCGAAAGCGTCATCTCCGGTATCTCCCGTGGACTTTCCTCCATTACCAGGTCGTAATGCACTTGGAGCTTCTGGCATGCCAGAATATTCGACGTTGGCGAACGACTCTCCTGCTCACGAACGCGCGCCTGCTACCGTCTCACTTGAACCTACCGTCCAGTCGCAGCCTCCCACCCCGGCTACACCGATGTCAGCAGGGCACTATCCCGGGAGACCGCTCCCTCAGCCGCCCTCTTCACCTTTGAATGAACTTCCACTGGTTACCCCTCAGTCTGTCATACCCCGTAAGGCCGGCCTTCATGTCGTGGAACCCCATGCACCACAGTCCTCACAGATAGCGGCGACTCAACGTCGTGAGCGAACTTATTCCGATGCGCTCATGTCTCGAACCCGATCGAATGAACAGCCAGCAAACGGTCGGCCGCGCGAGGTAGGTTCTTCGCATAGCCAGATTTGCAGTAAACCTCAACAATCACATAGGAACTGCTCGTCATCTCTGAAACTGTCTACCCTGCTATTCCTGATCCATTGAACGCTGATGCCGCCGCGCCTCCCAAGAACCATCCTTTCGTCGGCAAGGTGGAACTGCAACGGCGGCGCCCATTAAAAGACGGGCGCTCCAACACCAAGCTCACCTTGCTCGGCGTGATCGTGGACAAGTGCGGAATCTGCATCCGCGAGTTCAAGGAAGAAGACATGGCGGCGCTAGGTCCCGTCTGCCAGCACTGGTCAGCGAACGTCATCCTGACTGCTTCTTTCTCAAGCTAACAGTCTTTGCTCTTGCTGTAGTTTCCATGAACGCTGCCTGCGGCGCTGGCTCGCCCTCAATCGCACATGCCCGCTCTGCCGCGTCGCCCTATCTCTCGACGACAATGCTTTCTCCCGAATATGAATTTTCCTGGATTTCCTTGTAGTTCGGCTGATGGTGTTGTAGTTGTCGGAAGGTCATTCATGGACTATGAAATCTGACCTGTGTTACTTTGTGCCAAGGAATCTGCTTCCGTCACGACCATTTTTGTCTCTCATATATCACCACCCTGTAGAATACGTGCTGGGCCGGAATTAGATTCACCGTGGCGCTGCAAGACGTGCATCATGTGTGCTGATCGCTCTTATAGGGTCTATCAATTGCTCCAGGGTGACTTGACGCGGCTCCTTTACACTCTTTGCTAAGTTACACTCCGAAATGAGCTAGCGCGACTGGATGTTGCGTCTGTGCAGGGAGGTGATCGGAAGCTATGCACTATGTCGACAATCAATTCGACCGCTAAGTACAGTAGCGTACGTTGTCACTGACCTCTGATTTGAGAAACGGCAGCCGTGGTCATTTAACATTTAGTTTCAGTTCTCGCATCGGCAATTCAGAGACGTTTCTGCCCACGTTCTGAACATAACATGGGTATCCGACGATGAAGCACACTTGCAGATGTGAAATTACGACATGAAGAAAATGCGACGTCTCAGTCAAATCAAAGCGCCTTCATGACCTTCTCAATTTGAAGCTGTATTCGCATACGAGCAGCGACCGCTTCTGCATCTGCCCCTCCGATGAGACTGTCACGAGAATTATCCACACCAACCGTTACGCCTTCGTAGAGAAGGCTGAGTAGTTTGACCCATTGCGGCCCCCAGATCATGCCAGCCCGCTGTCCAGCAACATCGAGTGCCACTACACGGGTGATGAAACAGGATCAGTCTAGGATTTATAATGATATAGAGCGAAGCATACCAAACAGGATACTGGGTGCAATCGGCTGCTTAAGGAGTGATGGTTCCGATAGCATACGCGCACAGTAGGTCCAGAACTTGGACGTGCTAAAGATGAAATCCAATGGTCCCGAAGAGCGTATCCCCAGCATCATGAAATACAGTCGCATGAGACCGGATACGCGTGTCGTATAGTCTGACGAGTTTTCACCATCGCGATAACCACATGCCTTCCGCCATGCTGCAGCATCGAATTTCGTGCCATCAACGTCTTCTTCAGGCACCATCACTGGGACTGGCCATCCGCCCGCCCGCTGGCAGAGTTTAGCCCAGAAGATCTCGACAAAGCCGTTCAGCGTGCTCAGTAACCGCACGGTAACATCTGCAAGAGGCCGTGCGCTGTGTTTCTCTGCAGTGACCTCAGTCTCTGCTTGCAGCAGTATTGCCTTGGCAAGCGATGAAAGCAGCGCGTAGTATACGTGTTCCGGGTGTGGTTGCTTCGGATGCAAGATGTCGATCAATTGGCCAGTCTGTGCTCCAGAGTTTTTATTGTTCATGCGATATGACTGGATAATATAAGCTGCTTACAATCCTTGACACGGACTCCTCGTCGGCCGTCAATTGTCCCACTCTGGGAGTAATTGCCCGTCGCCCTGTGCCCCACATAGCTTTCAACGCTTTGTCACCCTTGACTATAGCCATTGGGCCTGTCTTGAGGTTCTGCATGCGAGATCAGTACCACTATTAGAGAAGTGAGAATTCATATACCTTCAAAACAGATCGGGCTCGCTTCCAGTCTTCCAGCGGTGTCGTGTAGCCCAACGTTGCGCGTTGTTGTTGCTCAGCCTGCTCCTGCTCTCTAGCCACCTTTTCCTCCTGCTCCCGCTTCTGCTTTGCCTGCGCTTCCTCTTGTTCCTTGCGCTTGCGCTCCTCCTCCTCTTTCCGACGATTCTCTTCTTCCTGTCGCCTTCGCCCTTCTTCTTCTCGCCTTCGCTCTTCTTCTTCTCGCCGTCTCTTCTCCTCCTCTTCCTTCTTCTTGCGATCTATCTCCTGTTGCGCCTTGGCTCGCTCTTCCTCTGCTTTGATAACCGATTCGATGTGCTGAAGTAGAGACTTCGAGCGCGATTCCCAGTCATCCAATAATTTCCTTCCCTCAACTCGTCTGCTACCTTGTTGAGCAGAAAGCACGGTCTGAACCGCCTTGAGCTCCTTCTGATATTTCTCATTCCGCTGCTTCAAAGCGTCTGCGTGTGATCGAGCGAGGAGTTCCTGACGTTGTTGCCTTCTGAACGCTTGCTCCGCGCGGGCCGTTCGCTATGTTGGGCAATGAGCATAAGTAATCTGACAACGGAAGCAATACGTACAAACGCTTCCCGCTTAGTATTAGCTTCCCATTCTTCGTACGGATCATGATGCTTGGCACGAAGCCGTATGGAAGCGAGCGCATCCTCGATGTAGTGCATTTCATCTTCACTTCTATGGAGGTCCTGGAGATGCCTATAGACGCACGTAAAGGTGATCAGGCATTACGACTAGCATGCAGCCGACATGCGCACCGCGGAGTGGATTTGACAAGCGACTTTGGCCCAACCCGATGCGGGCGCGGAGAGCCCAAACTAATGGAACTGGAGTATGAGGACCCCGCCTCAGACTCACCATTCCTCTCATCAGCCTCCAAGTCCTGGAGTTCTCCACCGGACTCCTCAGACCATTCAGCTTCGTCGGACTCCTCGGACTCTGTGAGAACTTCGGCTTCGGTATGTCTCTCGGACTCGGACGCATCAAATTCGTCTTCATCCGCATAGGATACATCGAACGAGATTCCAAACGATGACGAACCGAGCTGTCTAGCAACAGAGTCTCAGCGGGGCGCGTATGCACACAAGGCCTTACTGACCTCTTGACAGGAAATGACACAGTCTGTGCACTAAACCTCATATTCACTACTCGGGTACAGTTTGTGAGAGCCTGCTGGTCGTGAATAGAGGCTAGGACAGCGAAGACCGGGAAAGCGACGGCGTCGAAGAGTGAGAGGGCCGCAACCGAACGCCGCCACAGCGGCTGTCGCGTCGTAGCACACGTGACTGATCGTCCCAATTGAGATGGCGGTGATGGGCTCTAAGCACATTCATTCATTTCATTACGAAACACGTAGCTACGAGTTACATAGGCGTGCAGCAATGGCTCTAGCATGATGGCGGAAATGCCCAGTACACTTGCCCTTTCATACATGTCACAGAAACCGAAAAATGTTTTTAGACGGAATATCTGAGAGAAAGTATCGATAGTCGCACACTTGAGTTCCTTTGTGCGTTGAAGTTACAGCGAGCGTGCCCCTGAGGAACAATATCAATAACTAAGACTGCATCAATATACTTGCCGGCGTGACTCTCTGCAGAGGAGTGAGTCGTCCTGACAGACTTGTCACGGAAGATTTACTCATTAATGTACTTCTACTTCTTTCATTGAAATCCCTTATGATCTTGCAACTAACTGACATCCCGAGTGGCGGAACAATGTCTTCGGCATTTCTCCAAACTATCGTCGACGCATTGCGAGGTAGTGGCATTGCACTGCTCTAATTAGCTTGATCTACCATGGACGGCAAGAATTGGGTATTCTAGTGGACCTGGAGGGACACACATTTGCATCAGTTCTACATTGTGGAATGCTTCCGCACAAAGTTGGCTAATCATAGAGTGTGACCGAAGCGACCATAAGTCTTTAGCACTCGTTCTACTCCCCACTGGGGAGCGGTCCACACTTTCTGCGTATCCGCGTCCTTGCCTGAATGCTGAAGAACATATGCAAGGTGAATATCGGGCCGGCAATCCCACCCAAAAAGCTGCAGTCTCAGCAGCCGGAGACTGTTCTGACGCCTCAACGACGTGTTCCAGTACCTCACGGGTCTGATCGTCCTATGAACAAGAGAGTACCAGTGCGTCTCCATCGGATGCGTAGAGAGAAGTGAAGCACGCAAAGCCGCCTTTGTATGAGTAGTTTGGTATTTTATGCGATGTGAAGCCAAACTCACCGATCATCTTTCCACGGCGATCTTCTTCTCTTCAACAACTATTTGAGCTGCTTCCGTGTGGCATTACGCGCAACCGAACAAGTCCTTCAAGCCGATCAATTCTGCGTTTCTATTGCACGCTAATGTTCGCGAAGTCTGATGGACCGACTATTGAGCACTCGCATCGAGTATTCGTACCTAACATTTGTGGCCTGGGTGGTTATCGAGTATTGTCTCGGTGTTTTCTCGCACCATAAAATACTGAGCTTCTCCCGCTACCTGACGCAGCAGGTAATGGCCGACGCTGCACATGCGAGCTTCAGCCGTGTCTTGCAAGACGTGTACAAAAAAACCTGAGGGAAAGATGGTTAGCTCGACCATAACGGACGGGACTAAGAATGCTTTCGCACATCTCGAGTAAATGACAGGCATTGGCCGTATAGTGCACGTACCATCTCTTCTTACACGAAATGGCCTCGCTTAGCTATGTCAGGCAGAGTGATGTCCCAAGCGAGTGCCGTCGGCACGTCTTCCGCGTCTCTTGTCGGATTAGTGCTAATGCGGCGGACGAGCATCGCCTGGACCTCACCGCAATCACCTTTCCGCTGAAGCACGGGCCGAACGTCGTGTATTTCAATGGCCGCTGGTTGTTCTGGCTCTGCGTGATTGGAGTGAAACAGTGAAACGTATATTTCGCAGCGTCATACCGGGCCTCACGCAAAGAAAGTAGTGTGGCCGGTGTATGGTCGGCCAGCTCAGTGGTACCCGTACGAACATGCTTCAGGCGAGAACATCTGGGCCGGTGAAAGTCGCTAGGATGAGCGAGCACGATGTCTAGGTTTTGGACACTAACGCACAAGCGGCAGGAGCGATCGTACTTGTCGAAGAAGAGACGAAGGATACTACTATGAGCGACAGGCTTGTCACAATCATGTGCCTGTGACAGACGCGTTGTAACCAAATATTTATTGTCGGCGCGAGGTCAATCTCAATCTCAGAGCAGAATCGTTCAGACGCACTCCGATGAAGCCACAGATATATTGCCACATCTCACGTTACCACCGCACATGACAAGAACACAGGACAGGGGGCGAATTTGCATTCTCCTCGAGCAGCCACGCAATTCGCGAGAATACCTGTGAAGCAACAGTCGTCAGTGGTTAATTGAGAAGGCAAGAAAAGATGACATACCTTACAATCGATAGACTAATCTCCACGAAGACTGTCAAATGCCTCTCAAAGAGGTGCAAAAAGGAGCAAAAAATTCCTAACGGTGGCAGCAGACAAGGAGTAGTCTGAATCGAGTTGCATGCGGACGCGGACCCGCAAAAGGCCCGTTCCTATGCATGCGCCGCGAAGTGCACTGAAGGACATGATCACAAGCCAACCAGGCACGCCGCACCCTCCCCTCCCCTCGTATGTCGTCGTCCATGTTGAAGGCCGTTCAGATGCCAAGTACGTTGACGAACCATGGTCGGCTTAACCAGTGGAAACGTCACTTGGCCATACTCGGAAGATCTCCCGAGTGTGCACATACTGTACACTTTTTGAACGCGAGAGCGACCCGCGCCAAACTACTCTTCCGCCATGCAACTAGTGCACTGCCCAGAAGGAGCGACCAGAAGCACCACCTCCATGAATCATGGGCTTCTTTGATGGACGCATCACGTAGTGTTACCGGTATCATAACGTCGCATCTAAATCTCGCAACGAAACAGCCCAGCCATACCGGGTGCTACACGAGCGCGACGAGTGTTGATGGGACTGTGGCCAGCAGCCGAGCACCAACGAGCGAGCGTCACCGAACGTGCATTCCACGGTATAAAAAGCAGCACCTTCTAGGACATTGAACAAGAAGCCAGCCAGACTTCCGACTCGCCGAGACGAGAGATCGACACCGATAAGGAGGGAACGAGGGGGAGCGGACGAGGTGGATGCGCATGCCCAATCCTATCGACGCATTTCAAGCTGAGCGAACGCGACCCTCTGCAGACCGAAGCCTGCGTCACAGGCAAGCGTAAGCCATAAGGCAGCATCAGCGAGTTGCTGGTACGCCGAAAGACCCTGACGGTCTTGTCCAGCTAGGACTAGCCAAAGTATGGCTCGGAGAAGGATGGAATACTCAGACCTTAGCCCGCTCGCAAAGATGGACAGGGTCCTGTGCGGGGCGAGCATCGCGGCTTCGAATCTGCTGCCATGAGTTGAGGAAAAGAGAAAGGCGGCGAGCGGAGGCGAGTAGAAAAATAGAGTCGTGGGAAAGACGGGGCCACGTGATGAACGCGTTGTGTTCGCTTTGGAGGGCGCGGACAAGTTAAGGACTGGCTTGTCTGCGCTTGTGTTCGGCTTTAATCTCTTCACTTTCCCTTAGCCGAATTACGAAACTAACATTCTATCTCCGCCCTCCTCTTTTCTTTATATATCTCCCCAGCAATGCACATTTGAACGCGCATTTCCTCCGCGACGCCATCCCCTCCCAGCTGAGCCACTCGCCTCCTCTCTCCGACTCACCGCTCATGTCCATCGACGTCAAGGCACCAACCGACCTCCCACCGCGCTGCCAGAGTCGCATGGCTACCCGCCCGCCACTGAGACGAACCAACGGCTGCCACATCCTCCCGGGGTTCGAGCACTGCGACGACGGGAACGACAGCGACTCGGACGAGGAAATCGACTCTGGCCTGCGTCCTAGTCTGATGCCACTCAGGCCCTCTCATCACAGCTCAGACTCTTCCGACGACTCCAGCTCGGATGAAGATGACGGCATCGCGCAGATCATCACTCTCATCCCGATAAGCTCGTCATATTCAGACAAGGAATTTGCAGTCAAGGCAGCGCCGGACGTGCCCCTCCCGTCTGCTCTGCCGCCGAACCTGCAGATCATCCCAGAGGTCGAGGACGATGACAGCTTCGAGTTCGACCTCCCGCCTCCCTACCACGGCATTTCCGACAACGCGCTGGCGCTTGTCAAGCGTGTCTGGAACTCGCGACGCGTTGCCTGGTCAAATCAGAACATCCGACACGAGGCCGCCGCTGCTGCCATCGCTTACGATGGTACGCTGGATCAAGCACAGAAGGTCCCCACATCTGGGCCTCCGTCTGCGCCTCCTGCGTTGCCTCCTCCCTCGCTGCCTGCAGGCATCCAGGCACCTCCCCCAGATGCTGGACCCATCATTCACGCCCCTACCCCCGATCCCAACGTTCCTATCTATCCTCGTCTCGGCGACCTCTCCAGCATACACGATGGACGTTACGTCTCCGTAGACCGCGCATTCCGCAACTTCCCCACCTATACCATACGAAAGATTCTCTACCTGCACGATATGCTCGACAATGCCCGCAGCAGCTCGCCGTCTCATCCTCCTCGCAGAAGCGCGTCGCTAATCTTGGGCGACGACAAGCGATCTGCCGCAGATCGCCACCCATCAGCGCCTGTTTGGGACGGCCGAGGCGAGAAGATCTCTAGCATGGCACTAGGGTCGTGCACTAACGAAGGCCAGTCGGCTTCCTACCGCCGATGGCAGGTCCTCATGGAGAAAACGAGGCAGCCACGCGCCCCGGTGCGCACGGCTGGCATCTCGGCCAAGGCCACCACGGAATCCTCACGCATGGTTGTGAGCACTCCCGCGCCCGTACCCCTCGCCGTACCTGCACCTGCACCCGCACCTGCACCTACACCTACGGCGGCACCATCATCATCATCGTCTAAGAAGTCGCAAGACAAAGGTCGCACGCGGACGTCCTCGAAGCCAAAGGTATCCAGGTTCTTCTTCGCGAAGGACGAGTCCGATTCGCGCGATGCGCGATCGCGGATGTTCTCAATCACCGCGCAGTTCCTAAATCGACGCTCGATGAACGATCCGATGCGATTGTAGAGTATGCACAGGGACAGTATGGCGGGATTTCACGATGATGAAAAGGGAGACACGACATCCTACGATACCATCACGATCTATACAACCTGTATACCAATGTATGTATGTAAGTTAACATGTACGGCAGCGCCAACGACCATCGTAATCGTAGTGTGTGCATCATTGCTCCAGATGTTGCCTGCAAGCACCTCGCGCGAGTACACCCTGCTCGTACTCGAAGGCCGAGACCTATGCCGGTCGCTCATCTTCCTTCGTGTGGTGCAGCGTGCTCCGCTCATGCAGGTCCAAAAAATGACTAGTGACTGTCTAGTGACCAACTAATGACCAGCTGACATCAGCTCGTCACCGTGCTGATGGTTGTCTTGCGTTGCGGTCAAGGTTGCGCTGGAACTAGCAGCGGAGGCTGTTTGGTACACATATTGACCAACGTACGTGGTATATGAAGGCGGGCGGCTCTGTCCTCGAGCGTACGTCCGTTCAGGCCACATGGGCGTATGCGCTTGTCTCGCGGACTCCAATTCGCTTGAAGTAAACATTGTACTGGTGGGTCCAGTCGGCAAAGGAGCGATGCTAAACCTTTGCGGCTCCACGATCACGTAAGTCCCTGAGAGGTAGGACATGACAGAAGATCGCCTTTCTGCTAGTGTTGAGCTCCGAGGGGATGACTCCTCAGTCAGGACGAGATCGTGGGCTTTATGCCTTGGTATACTGATAGAAAGAGAGACGGAGGGGTTGGCTTGCGGATCCGGGCGCTCAACGTCAGCTACGGTAGGTGTCAATTGTGCTCGGAGAAAGTATAGTCATAATTCTCACCACCTGGTGGATGATCTGCGCGTGAAGCAGGCAGCACTCGCCTCGATCTTCTCGTGATAACAACAGTTAACACTACGGCCAGCAACATCCCGGCGACGCCTAACGCGAGCCCGATCCATGCGCCGGCGGTCAAAGGAGGATGAGAGCTGCCCGCAGATGTAGCAGCGGGGATGACGGAGGATATGACAAGGCACGTCGGGTGGGTAGCTGGTGATGATGATATGGTCGCTTCTCGCCTGGACAGGGTCACAGGCGAATATCGAATGGGGAGAGCATGCAGCGCGGTGCTATTCTCGGCCGTCATCCGCGATAGTGATATGACGGGAGCCGATGTCAACGAGACCCTGCGGGCAAGCCGTTTTATATCGTCGGTGTGCAGATACATCTGTGTTTGAATGCTAACCCGGCAAGATTCAAAGCATGCTACTTGATGCAAGTGAGGCCAGGGCGATCGTACCACGAAGCATCGAGATGACCGTTGTCCGCATCTTGTCGAGAACGTGGGCAGCCGATGCTCTCAACTGTAGTACCTGTATTCATCGCTCATATGTGTTTGCCAGCTCTTATTTAAGATGTGATCATACCTGAAACATTTGTTGTACCATCCTTCTACGGGTATTCGGCGCTTAGCACAGCAAATACAGTCATATCTGGCTTCTGTTGCTTCGATGAGCCAATCAAGAGGACAATGAGGCATTGCCATTGTGTACCAACCTATCTGGTGATGTGGTGTCATGGAAGCTCGAGATAACTCTATTAGGGGGGTGGATCGCAGGATGAGCGCATATGAAATTCGGAATCCACCCAGGCAACTCACGTACCTTCAAACCAGTTTTCTGAGAACTTGGTTGGATATGCTTCAATGCCACGGAAAATGCTGAGCGCTGCTTTTGCTCACATGGAAGTCGCACGTTCCAAAGGTTTCGTTCGATCACATCCTGATCACTGACCAAATCAATCTCTCTGTAAGTTTACGGGTCAAGGGAAGGCATGCATGGAACGCCTGTGTCCATGTTGCATGCTGGCATAGAAAGAACCGCAGCATTTGCGATTACGACGAGCTTGCGCGAGATAAGAGCATCCAGCTAGCAGCTTCAGATCTCACCGAGCACGAGGAGGCGCGAACAAGGTACGCTGCATGCAATCGAATGAAGCAGTTTCCTGAAGTCCGCGAATATCGGTCCCAATTCGGCAGGGCAGGTATGAAACAGGGGGGCACCCATAACAACACACAGACACTTTATAGAGAGCGTGTCTACCAGGGATGCTGAGTTCCGTTGTACCTGAGGAATTTGCCGGAATCCTTCGTATTGACGGAGGACAGGACCTTCAGGATACCAGTCACGCTCTCCTCTACCTCCAGAACGGCACCTTCCCCTCCCAGCGCTGTGCGCAGCGCGTCAGTACACTCTGGACAAGACCATAGGCAACCCTTGACGCTTGACGCACCAGTCTTCACCCATCCCGGGTCCATGCAGACAGCAGTGAAATCCGGGCGCGCCTTCGCTTGCTTGTACGTCTGCACACGACGCAAAGTCAACTACTTGGCATCTTCGACGTCAAATAAATGGGCGCAGTCTAACCAGCATATTCAACGCCGTCTTGCTGATGCTGTACGATGAACACTTCGGTCCGCAGTCTAAACCAAAGCTGGCCAGACCTGTGGTCATGTTCACGATCATCTTGTGCTGGCCGCGCTCGAGGAATGGGTAGTAGAGCTCTGCGAGGAGCGCGGGTGCGCCGACGTTAATCTGCAAAATCTCGAGAAACTCAGGGTATGAGAAGTTGAACGCTGTGTCGTAAGTAGGGTTCTGGATACGATCAGGAAGGGGTTTTCAGGCGTGAAAACGGTGAGAACGTACGATGGCGGCATTGTTGTACAGAACGTCTATACCTCCGTCGCCGAGGATTGAGCTGACGATCTGAACCGACTCCCGCATGGATGCCTCGCTGCTGACGTCCAGAGGTACTATGTGCAGTGTGCCCGCTACATTTTCCTCCAGCGCATGCAGCTCCGTCGCTGTATCAGGTGTGCGACAGGTCGCGATAACGGTGTTGGCGGAAGAGGATAGCAGCTCCTTCGTTAGCTGAAGTCCTATACCGCGGTTCGAGCTAAGCAGCAGATGAGCTCATGAATGTTGACTGAATATGAGGGCATTCTCTCGAACTGTCGCCTCTCGAGCAAAGCTCCGTGCAGTATACGCACCCTGTAATCAACCAGGTACCGGTGGGAGACATGTCGAGTAGAGACAAGGACAATCCATGCTGACCGAGCTCGAGTGTCTATATACCCTCAAGTTTCAGACACGGAGAAAACATCAACTGAGCGGAAGATGTGACGGTTGACCAGCTGGAGAGTTGGCTCGGATTTCCGTCGGGCTACGAAGCGCTCATATTATCTTGTTCTGCTGCTCTCATGTCCTGCTGACGCCTGCGTATTTCTTGCTTTTTCTGACACCGCAACCACTCGGAGAAATGCAAGGTGGAGAAAGATGTTCGATGTTATTCCAATTCACCTCCAGATGCTCCGAAAGTCTCATATGAAAAGCAAAGTCATTGCTTGTATGCGCATCCTTTAAGGCGGGGATCTCGAGAGGTAGCGGATTCTGTCCCTGCCGTCGCTTCACCAAACGATCTCTTCGCCGTTATGCCTGTAGAACTTGCCGGAATTTGCAGAAGACGCAGACTTAGCAAGCTTGAGCTGTCCCCTCACGCTCTCCTCAGGCTCCATCATTGCGTCAGGGCCTCCCATATCTACCGCAGATCCTCAGGAATCTCATGTGCATCAATGCTTTGTCAACTTACCTGTCTTAACCCAGCCAGGATCGACAACATAAGAAATGAGGTCTGGTCGTGCCTTTGCTTGTTTATAGGCCTGTTTTACCTTATGTTAGTGCTAATGCAGAGAGGAAGCCACGGCTAGACGTACAATCATATTAAGAGCGGTCTTGCTGACACTGTATGTTGCGTTCTTCGCTCCAAAGTCAATTCCAATACTAGCGAGACCGCTGCTCGTGTTGATGATGACCTTGCGCTTGCCCTGCTCGAGAAACGGCAGGTACACTTGCCCCATAAGGGCCGGGCCTGCGACGTTGGCTTTCAAGGTCTCTAGGAACCCGGAATACGAGAAGTTGAAAGCGGAATCGTCACCCTCGTTCTGCACACAGTTTTACAACGAAACCGCGTCACAAGGCGCAAGGATATTACCCACGATTGCAGCGTTGTTCCAAAGATAATCGAGTCCCCTATAGCCAAGGATTTCGCCGACCACCTTTGCCGAGTTGCGGATCGACGCTTCGTCTGCGATATCAAGCGGTATGATGTACAGCTCTCCTTTCGCTTCGCTTTGCAGTGCCTGCAGTGCAGGTGCGTTGTTTGGATCCCGGCACGTTGCAACCACAACGTTGGATGGATCAGCGATGAGCTGCCTCACCAATTCCAGACCAATCCCCCGCGAAGTGCTGCGAGCATCGTCAGCGTACGTTCCAACAATGTCTGCTATGATAAGATGCTCACCCGGTAATGAGCCAGGTGTATGCGTCGGACATGGTGCTCGTACAGGACGACTAGGCAGAGCTCGTGGATCGATGCGGGTTTATCTAGCGTGCTGCATTCAAGCCTCAAATGTCCTTGACGAAAATATACGGGTCATCTGAGACAGCAGTGGGGATACCTCGGTGCAGCCTCGTGACGCTCGTTCGGTGCATCCGGGCCACTCTGCAGTCAATATTGTTCGATAAGCTCTTCAATCGTTCATGTTGAGGTGAGGTCACTAACGCGTCCACGTGATAGCACGCGGTGCACGTCCGTGGCTACATCCTGGTTCGTGCATCTTTCCCATATGCACTGATCTTACCCTGAGATACTAAAGAGGATTCATGGACATAAAAGAATTTAGATTTTGCCGCGCGAAGTTGGTTGTCCCAGTGTTGTTCGATAAAATTTAAAAGCTGAATGCGCCTCAACGACTGCGGTGGCCATCCATTCGTCGCATGTTCGAGCGCCGAACCTCGTGCCATGTTAGCATTCAATGTTTCAGTCGACAAGCGATCGACTGGGCAACAAGATCCGATGAAGGGGACAGACATTTCGACGCCATTTTGGACGGTCCAAGCCCTCGGCCACCCGCAAGTGGCGCGGCCATCCAAGTGATCCGCCATATTTAAGCCACGCTGTGTCCGGTACCCGCCCTCAGTCCCACTCACTCGAACTCGTTGTCTCTCTCTTGTTGATTGCCAACCCAGTTCCACGATGCCACATAATCCTGACGCCACATCGACGTCTCATCTCCATCGATCTCGGAAGCTGACGAAATCCAGGCCGCCTACATCTCAGACAGGCTCACAGTTGGCAATAGGGCCTTCGTCTCCACGGACTCGCGATCATCACTGGCCCAAGGGAATACCTCGACACGCCAACGTGCGCTTCTCCGATTATGACGAAGGCTACGTGGGGGTCTATTTCAGGCAGCCGGACGACAACCATCACTCGCAGCGCGATGGACAGAACGAGACGGCGCAAGTGCTGTCAAGCCTTTCGAGGACTAAAACGTATCCTTCTTCCCCTGGTGGGAGCTCCCCTCTGTGGATTCAAAGGAAGCCGGACTTCACAAAGTCCCCCAAGGAACGGCATAGCGTGCCATTACGACGATCCGACTTCCATGTGCACAAACCACTTCCGCCTATACCGCAAGACGCGTCTCGCGATTCAGTGATTACGACCAGCAGGGACTCCGCAATCGGGGTGCCCATCGCGTCGGGACCCTTTATTATGGAATATCTTGGCGATCGAGGCAGCAAAGCCCTCTTCACAACACGAAGTGCGATGGGTGATATGAACGATATCGTTGAAGATTCCATTCCCACTTCTCGATGCGTTTCTTTCACCAGCTTGACGGAACGGGTTGATGATGAGGAGGGCTATCTTGATGAAGATTCCACTACACCCACCTCATCTTCAACCATTCTTTCTGCAAGACGTGCCGAATGGGATAATAACGACGATGCCAGTCATTCGGTCGCCTCGCCTGCGCGTCCATTCGTGGTTGCTCCTAACAATCTAAAAGGGACCATCCAGGGAAAGCGAGGTCCTCATGTTGGAGATATCACCGGAATGGAGAGAAACGGCAAGCTCGTGCGTTGCATTCATCGAGTTTGACTTCTTGTGCTCACGGTCAATTCGCTCGGTCTCTAGGATTCAACGCGGAACAACATCCTCTCATCAAATCCTCGGCGCAGGTAACGTCAAGGCACATCCATGCATGCCGCTATCCAAGGAGGTTGCATATCATTATATTATCTTATGCTCGAAGTTCATGCTCTCCGAGCAGGTTGCCAATTATCTTTCACGTTTATTACTACTGTTGATCAGCTTTGTAGTATTTACATTTACCCTGATACCATAGTTCGGATTGCCGCTTCTACTGTCACGAGAAGTTTGCAAGGCTCTGTCAATAGGGCGATTGGAAGGACCCGCAGTAGGATCTTATTGCCGGTGCTGGTGAGCCGTTACTACCGCCAATAGGACCGCGCCGCGCTGAGGATCACTGATAGCCCACATAATAATAGGGTCATGCGTCTGTGGTCACATTTCGCTCGGTGGGCTCTACTGCATGAGTGAAGCAGATGGCTTCAACATAAGTTGAAGAAGGCGGAAAGCCGGTTGTACCTAAACAAATCCAGTGGCTATACGTTGCACGCACGATCATGCTCCGAACATCATGCAATTTTAGGATGCAATTGTTTCCCAGTAGGAGCTGTCGGCTGGGCAACGAGATCCGACAAACAGGATGTCCGTCTAACGGAAATTGGAAGGTCCAAGCCCATAGCCACTCACCAGCGGCGCAGTTACACCAGGTGGCCCATCCTAACTATACATAAATACTCGGCTTTCTGTTACTGGCAACCTCATCTGTTCACACCCTCCTTCTCTCGCATCTGCGACTTCACGAAGCCGCATAATCCTGAAGTCACTGAAACCGTTCATCCCTTTAGTAACATGGGTTCGCAGCACCTCAAACCGTGTCTACAACCGAAAGGCACAATTTCTCCAGCACTTCCGTCATCAGAGAGTGACGACTTTCATGGGCATCAGGGAAAATACTCGTCAAAACATGTGCGCTTCTCCGAAGATCAAAAAGACGACAAAGCGTCGCATTTGAAGCGGTCATACACTGTTGATGGAAAATGTGTCCCTTTGTGGCTCAACCGGTCGTTGAAGCACATACCAGAAGACCGCCGTGTCCTCCAAAGTCGATTGGATATGGACGTGTTCAAGCCTCTGCCACCCATACCTGGACCAAATGAGCCACGCCACGGTTCTGTGACCACCATAAACGGCGACTCCATGGTCGGAGTGACCATGACATCCGACTCTCTCGATATGAGAGTTCCCCGGAAGTCTCGCGACAAACCGCCGTCCACGGCAGAAGAGTTGCAAGAGGAAGAGGACGATACTGCCGATGAGTCCACTCCTACTAGTACCTTTTCACCATTCGTCCTTTGCGCCAGCCTCACTGAACGGGTTGATGACGAGGAATGTGATATCACCCCCACCTCTTCCGCACTCTCTTCTTACGCGAGCCTGACTAAACGAGACGAGGAGGAGAAGTGCAATTCCGATGAAGATTCCGACACCCCCACTTCGTCCCCAATCTCCCCTGCCAATGTCGCTGATCGCTGCGGCGACCATAGTACAAGCTACTCGTTTGCTTCATTTGCGTCCCGATCGAGCACAGTCCCTTGTCATCCGAGGATGGTATTTCGAGGAAGTCGGGTGCTTCTTGCAGGTAGCGATGCGGCGACGGAAATTGGTGAGCTTCGCAAACCGTTGGAAGTGGCTCGCCACACTCGCCGTCCGTGTACTATATCTCAATGCTCTGACATGCCGCAATCTCCCCGCCTCTGACCTTCGGTGTCTGAGGCCTGATCCTTGAGCTTATCCAAGGGATGCCATTTCATTGTACTCGCTCACATCCGGGCATCAGACTGTCCAGGAGATCGTTGATTATTAGATTATTTGCTTATTTGCTCGAGATATACTCCATGAGTATACTTACCCTATACCAACGTGCCCACTGGTTGATCATGTCTACAGTGCTTCCTCAGATACCCAGTGATTACCTCGTTCTCGTGAGTAGTTTGTATCATCTTGTATTCAGCAGTTCCCTTCACGAATCGATCTTCATATCAATGGCATTGACGCGGACAACTCCATGCTCATTTGGAATGTAGCAACCGACGTAGTAATTGAACAGTAAACCAATCTGGGATATAGCACAATTGCAGAACAACAATCTACGCATCCTCCAGAGTCATTTCGTCAAGATCGTCCAGCAACTCGTCCAGCTTGACCTCCGGGAAATCGGGCTCGTCCTCATCATCTGTTTCCGGCGGTGGTTCAGGCACATCAGCTGCATCTTCTCCCATGGCGTCGTCCATGTCTATCACTTGCTGTGGCTTCCTTCTCGTCTTTCCGCCCGCCAGGCCTGAGCCCGCGCCCGGCTGATTCAACTTAGCTTTATACAAATTCACCGCGCCACGCATCTCCTCATCTTCCTCAAGCTCTCTGAGGAACAGCTCATAGTCTTCCTCGACCTTCTTCACGTCGCGGCCGCCCATGCGTCCGACGACACCACGGCCGGAGACAGCATCGCCCTCTTCGCCAGCTTCCGTGGCCATGCTGCGAAGTTTCCACGCGCGGGTCTTGTTCTTCTTTCGGCGGTGGGGGTACGCCTTCTTCACGAGCACGACGTCCGGCACGCGGTGAGCGGGCAACGCGGCAAAGTCGTCCGAGTTGAAGTTTGTGTTCGTCAGGTAATACCCGAGCGCGGCGTCTCCCGGCTGCAGGATACCACCGAGGTGGGTACGCGTGTGGAAGATCTGGTTCGACGCCTCACTAATCTCGTAGTCCATCGCGTCGTCATCATGCGAGGAGCGGAAGGCGCCCGACAGCGCGACCTGCGCGTCCGCAAGCACCCATTTGCCGCGTGTCGTGCCGGAAGGCTCGACGTCAAGCACAGTGAACTCGACGAGGTCGGACACGGTCGCTAGGACGTCAAACGGTGTGCGCCAGTAAACTGGTGCTGTCAATTCAGTGAATTTTAGAGTGGCAGGGTCAAGGAGGTGAATGGAGTTGCCGACGCGTGAACACATGGTGAGGGGATTGATGTTGCTCAGCTGACGGGCGAGCTTGGGGGGTATGCAGACGAGATCGTCTTTGCAGATGGGAATAATCTCAACAGAGTATGTATACTTGAAGTTAGCCGTGTTAGTATGGGTATCTGCTGAAAGTAGCTGTTCAGATGCTTTTGATCTGCACACCCATATTTTATCAGTGTCTGCATAGATCCCACCAAAGCTTGTAGGACGTACCGTGTCGGCACTACACTCTGCAAGAATTCCACCATCTTGAGAGCATGACTCCGCGAACTGTAGAAAAAGTCCAGCCCATCTCGGACTTCCTTCACAGAGACGGTGTCCTTCTGTGCGCCGTGCTTCAGAATGAGCTGCTCGAGGAACAGAAAGGTCCGCTTGTGGGGGACCTTCTGACGCACTTGAACGAGAGCTCTCCACGTATTCTTCGCGGCAAGTTTCGTGCAGTCGGAACACTGGCCGTGCTGTACGAGGTATTCGATCTCGAATATCTGCTCGAGGATGGTGGAAGTGAGCACCTCCTTCTGGATCGTGAGCGACACTCGTAGCCGCTTGGAATGCGGTTCTGTCCAAATGAAGTGGGCTTCGGTGAGCCTGACTTTATTCAGACCCTTGAGCTTGCGTAAACATATAGCGAGGAGCTCTTGCGACTCGGGACGTGCAATCGTCCATGTCGACGGTGGTGATAGGAAGCGTTCGCAATTCCGGCAGTAGGAGACTGACGCTAAAGAAGAATCTAAGCGATGTACATCATAATATCACGATCAAACGTACCTTGCTTCGGAATACCCTCCGTGATATCAACAGTATTCCTGAGACATGCGACGCAGAGATTCGCCGAGTTGGGGACAATGGGTGTACCACAGTCCGCGCAGAGAACGCGGTGCACGGCAGGAGCAGGAACAAACTCCATTTACCTTCGTTTCCAACCTCTGCAGACCGTCCTCGAGTGGGTCGACAACGAGCAGATGGAGAGGGAGAGGGAGAAGAAAGGACGAGGGCAGGCCTACGCGGAAATTGCTGTGGCGGCACCGAGCAGATGAGTAAGATCGGATCTGCAATTGTATCACGTGACTTGCGCCGGTGAAACGCGTGAAGCAGAGTCTCAGGCAAGAAAGAATGATATATAGTAAGTATGCTGTCTAGATTTACAGATTTATCATAACATGTTCACGTCGTGTTAAACCTGTTCAGTATACATTTCATGGATTTGTGGTCCTTAATTGTAGATTCAAGCTCAGAATATATCGAGCCACCGTGACCGTTCACAATGCACGTCCGACCACAACAGCGTATAGTATCAGCCCGTAAAAGCAGCGCGTCGAACCTAAGTAAAATGGACAACTCGTCAGACGCAGGTTTTGAAGGAGTAGCCGGTCCATCAGATTGGACCAAGTCATCAAGCACCGACTTGCTGAGCATTGTCCACATCGTAAAAGCCACCAGGTAACATGCTCGGATCGATAGAGGGAGTCGTGCGCGGCGGAGAGAGCTGCAGGGAGCCCCAAACGGACATCAAAGGGACGAACTTCGCTTGGGGCAACACGTCATCCATTCCACCAAAGGTAGCTCTGCAAGGCAACAGTAAACACCAAGCCTGCACGAAACTCACTTAAAATCATCTATCCATACACCAGAGCAACTTTGAAGCCACATAATCATACAAGAAACATCCAGCATAAGAAACGTGACTATGAGTATGCGCTCTTATCCTTGTTGCGCTCATAGGCTGTGGGGGTTTGGTCAACGCATGAAACTTCACATGATCTGAAATGGTGTTACTTACGATTGTAGTGCAACAGCTTTTCGATGAGGTCAACGTGCGTGAGGACCATGCGACGGCAACAGTATCGCTTTAATTCCAGCTGGTCCAACGCATCGCTGTTCCATAGTCAGCATGCGAGAGGGCAGTGAATGACGATGGTCGGACTCACCCTTCACTGATGTCTCTGGACAGCATCTCGAGGTAGCTGTTCCATTTGTCTCCTATGACCTTTCCGCAAGAGAAACACCGGACTGGGATGATCTAATCGACAGTACTGAGTGGCAAGTTGGACAATGGAGGAGCAACCAGACATACCATGATGAAGGTGAGAGGCAACGTACAAGACGGGATTCGCTTTCCGAGAGCGAAAGCGAAGGCGACTGTGACGCGCACACGTGAGCCTGTGACACTGTTGCGGTGAGTGAGCGACGCGTCGCGTTCAAACCGAACCGAACCCAAGTTCGACGCTCTCGACGTCGCCATGGATGTCTTTGAACTCCAGGAGGAGCTGCAGGGTCTCCAGGACCTCGCAAACTACGAACTACAACATGAACACGACATTCCGTCCATGGACTCGCGTGCCGTCGCTCATGTTCTCGAGGCTGCCGTTGAGGCACTGGCTGAATCCTCCGACGCCATCACCAATCCTGCTGTCTTTGACGCGTATCGAAGCCTATTGAAGCATGCGGAGACACTGCAAGGCTCACTTATGAATAAACTTCTGGACTCGATCTCTTCTGCATTCCAGGCGCAAGTGGACGCCACGATACGCGATCTCGATCAGGAGGACCAACAGACCATCGCAGTGCACAAGATCACACTGGAGATGTACGGCTTTCTGCTGCACTGGTTTGTTCTTGCAGCGGAGAAGGTGAAGGCTCCTGGAGATGAGGAGGGTGCCCCTGTGGCCCCGCCGCCTAAATCGAGGCGCGGGAGGGGAGGTAAGGCAGGTACCTCGAGACCTGCATCGAAGAAGACGTCAGAGGAGTGGACGTGGGCAGATCAGATACCCTCTATGCTGAGCCTTATCAGCAAAGTACTGCGACTAAAAACTCAGCGGATCTGGCTGACTACGGCTGAAAGAGACACATTCATCAAGTGAGTGATCACTAAATGTATCTGACCCATATCCCACAACGATCCTGTCAGCTGCATTACGCGGCCGGTATATCACATAACAGAGAGTGAACAATACATGAAGGCGCAAGCCATCAGACTCGGCGTGTACAAGGTCGTCTGTCTCGCAGTGAAACACCATGGTCATGCCCTCGCCGCGCAAATCAGCATCATGCAATCTCTACAATACTACGAGCATCTTTCGGAGCCTATGGCTGAGTGTCTCACTGTGCTAACGAAAGAGTTTGATCACGCTCAACTGGGCGACGAGATACTGCGGGAGATCTCAGCGAAGAGCTTCAATGCGCAGGACTCGAAGGGCCCGCGGGCGTTTTCCCGGTTCCTGATCAGACTCGCCGAATTGTCGCCGCGCTCGGTGCTCAAGCAGATCAGTCTGCTGCTCTCACATCTAGACTCGGAGGTGCGTAGCAAAATACATGCCAAGGCAGTTCCTTGACAAAATATTGTTAGTCCTACCCAATGCGAATGGCGATCGTCGAAGTGATTGGGTGCCTGATTCGCGAACTCGCTACCTCACCAGACCTGACCACCGATGAGTTTCAAATGCAGAAGCAGCTAAACAGCCTATACGATCTCCTGCTCGAACGTGTGCTCGACCTGTCGTCGTACGTCCGCACCAAGGTGCTCACAGTGCTCGCGCGGTTGTGCGATCTGCCTGTCAAGTTCCCGAAGCAGCGGCTCGCAGTGACACGTGCCGCAGTGGACTCGCTCGAGGACAAAGGCTCGACCGTGCGGAAGGCGGCGGTAATGCTGCTCGTGAAGCTGATTGTCACACATCCGTACGGGCTGATGCACGGAGGCCTACTGGGACAGAAGGAGTGGGAGGATCGGTACAGTGATGTCTGTCAGGAGCTTCAAGTCGTCGAAGGCGTCGTGGGCAAGGTGGTTGAGCGGGAAGGTGATGACGACGACGCTTCTGGAGACGGAAACGAGGACGAAGTGGAAGAAGGAAACGAAGATAAAAATGAGGAAGACGGTGACGAGGACGAAGAAATATCCTCCTCAAAACGGAAGAAGTCACGGCATCGGTAAGGTCTTGCTTTACACTATTACATCATCACGCTTCACGTACGATGTCAACGTAGGAAACAGCGAATATCTGCATCCGAAGACGAGATGGATATTGACGAGGGGGACGAAAACGCCGCCGACGAGGACGAAGACGTGAAGATGGAGGACGAAGACGTGAAGATGGAGGACGAAGACGACGCAGGGGAGCCGAGCTCTTCCAAGCCGAAGCCAAAGAAAAAGAAGCGGTCACGCAAGTCCGAGCTCGATATGGCCGCACTAACAAATGAGCAAGAGGCCCTTGCGGCATTAGAGAACAACCAGCTTCTGGGGCTGCGGCTGCGCAAGAGATATTATGCCGAAGGACTGAACTTCATCAGGCAGGTCGAGGAGGGCATGCAGACGGTGCAGCGCCTTCTTGCTTCCACGAACAAGCTGGAGGTACTAGAAGCTATCGAGTTCTACAGGGTTGTTCATGAGTACCAATTTGACGGCGCGGAGGTACATCAGCGCATTGAGCATCCATTCTGTGTTGACATGTTCTCTACAGAGCGGGATCAAGAAGATGCTGCACCTGATCTGGGCAAAGGATAACAACACAACTTCTGAAGATGGCAAGGAGCTCAAGGGCGTGCGCTCTCGCCTGCTCGAGTGCTACAGAAGCCTATACTTTGAGCCGCTGCCCGACATGGAGCCTAAGAAGCAAGTGAACCGTATCGCGAAGAACATGATAGAGTGGGTGCTTTTCTCTCGTAAATTACATAGCCTTCACTGTCTGCTGTAGACTTACATACGACGCAACACTCGCTGAGTTGACGAGTTTGGAGGAGTTGATGCGTACGATGACTGATGATGGGCAGATCCACCCAGACGTCGTCACGAAGCTCTGGCAGGTCTACAGTGAGTGGCATCCATTCTATCGACGAAACACTCCTAATCTCGAAAGTCGACAGGCTCTGATAGGCCATTGCCGAGAATTCAACGCCGAGGAGCCATCATCATCCTCGGAATGTTGGCTCTGGCAAAGAGGAGCGTGGTGGCGGACCGAGTAGAGACGCTCGTCAAGACAGGACTGGGTAATTTGGGCAAGGTTACTAAATCAGCTGTTACAGCATCCTGCCAGCTGCTGATATCGCTTTGCAGAGCGATCTCTTGCTTGCAAGATACACCTGTGTTGCATTGCAGCGCTTGAATGGTAGCGCAAAGAAAGTGAAAGGTAAGAGTGTCGCGTATGCTGTGCGAAGCGTCCCTGTAACACATAGGCAGGCTCACTCTCGGACAAGTCCCTCCGGCTCGACGTCGAGAACCCACTGTTTCGCAAACTTCAAGATGCCATCGAACACCCTTGTCGTTCGAAGGAGTGGTTTGGGATGGCAGAACAGGCGATCAACACGATCTACGCGCTCTGTGAGCGGCCAGACATCATCTGCGACAGGCTGATCAAGAACCTGACCCGGCGTGCGTTCGCGCCGCCGAGTCGTGCGAAGACGCCCCAGACACCCGACCCTGATGCCATGGATGAAGATGAGCCGAGGGAGGCTGACGAGACTACATTGAATGCGCAGTCTGAAGAGAACAAGGACACGAGTGATGCGTTCGTTCTCAGTCAACTGCTCTTCGTAGTGGGTCACGTTGCTATCAAGCACATCGTCTATCTCGAACTCGTAGAGAGGGAGTGGAAGCGGCAAAAACAAGAGAAGGAGATGGGTATGTTCATATCCTTTGCGACTTTAGGTGGCAAACGTTGAAAAGGCATATAGCGGACAAGACTGCAGCTGGCAAGAACAGCAATACGCGTTCTAACAAGGAGCAAGAGGAGCTGGACCAGATGGCGGGCAACGCGGAGGACGAGATCGGAGACCGGATTGCGGCTGTGAGGGAGACTGAGCTTCTGTACGGTCCAGACTCCCTTTTGGCCATCTATGGTCCAATGGTTGTCCACATCTGTGGGAGTCCTCACAAGTTCAAGGTAAGTCTTAGCATGTGTATGTTATGGTGATGTTTAAGCCGTGGTTTACGTTAGAACCGGACATTGCGGGCGGCCGCAACATTAGCGTTCAGCAAGTTCCTCTGTATCAGCTCCAAATTCTGCGACCAACATCATCATCTCCTTTTCAAAATCCTGGAGACGTCCAAAGACGCTAACGTCCGCAGCAACATCGTGATTGCCCTTGGTGACGTTGCGGTGTCATTCAACACCATCATCGACGAGAACAGCAATGAGCTGTATAAAGGATTATCAGACTCTGACCTTGTCGTCAAGAAGAACACGCTGATGGTGCTCACACATCTGATCTTGAACGGCATGATCAAAGTGAAAGGACAGCTTGGTGAAATGGCAAAATGCCTGGAGGACGAAGACGAGAGGATCGCCGACCTTGCTAAACTCTTCTTCTCGGAGCTGTCGACGAAGGACAATGCTATTTATAACAATTTGCCAGATGGTAAGGCAGGTGTAATGTTGCGCAACGTTATTGCTCACCGTCTCGGTGCATAGTTATCAGTCATTTGTCGGTCGGTGCTCATGCTGTGGACGAGCAGACGTTCCAAAGCACTATGCGATACATCTTCTCTTTCATTGAGAAGGTCTGTCTGGCTGTTGCTGTACATCGTCCATGTACTCACCTTTCCATAGGAGAAGCAAGCCGAGAATATCGTCGAGAAGCTTTGCCAACGCTTCCGTCTCAGCGAGGATCCTCGTCAATGGCGCGATATCGCTTACTGTCTATCGTTGTTACCATTCAAGTCGGAGCGATCGGTGAAGAAGCTAATCGAGGGTCTCCAATTCTACCGCGACAAACTGCATGAGGAGACCGTCTTCAATCGCTTCCAGGAGATCCTAACCAAGGCGAGTTTATTCTCTGTGGTCAGGCCCACAGTGAATTTAATCCATAATTATCGAACTCTAGGCTCGTGCAAACAAGTCTGCAAACAAACCGGATGCCGAGCTGAATGAATTTGAGAATGTATGTTATGTAGTATGTGTATTAATGAGGCCGCATCTGATATTGGCCGTAGATTCTCGAAGAACACCGCAGGCAAGGCGAGGAAGACCAAGCGTTCGAGAAGAGGGTGGAAGGCAGGAAGGCTGCTGTCAAGAAGCGGGCCACACGACGCTGTGCGTAATTTTTTTGCAAAATCCTCACTCGTCTGCTTACCATCACGTATCATTTAGCGGCACGCAAGAAGGTGCAAGCTCAGAAGGAGGACGAGGACGAGGAGTGATGTTGGCGAACTGTCAGACCGCCCTATTTATTGACAGTTGTATATGAGCACATGTAATACATTGTATACTCTAGAGGGTCAATAGTAGCGTGGCGTGCAAGGTGAGATGAGTCTGTCCGTGACGAAATGCGAAGAAGCGAGTGGAGTGGCAGGCGTGCAGTGCGACCGTGTCATGAATGAGATTAAGGAGTGTGGGCGGCGGTGAAGGTGGCGCTCGCAGCAAGCGATAGTAAATAATGCGGGGTATCACCGGCCAAGAAATACGTACGCAGCCATAATACAGAATAATGCGACTGGTCCGGGAAATGTCTGAATGTCTGTAGATTAACAATGACAGCAACCAGAATGCAAAGAAGAAACCCCGAAAGAATGCGGCGGCAGATGCGGCCTATTCGGTCTTGGCCTTCTCATCATTACCGGCACCGCCGCCGCCACGCATGATGGACTTCATGAACGAGTAGAAGCGATCACCATATTCTTGCGGGGGTACCGGGCTGATCTTATGCTGAAGAAGAAGACGGGAAAGTCAGCGAGAGTGGAACTTCCTAGCAGATAGTACGACTCACTCGATCAGCCGACAGCCCCTTCCAGCAATGCTCGATCTTCTTCAGCGACGAATACGGTGTAAGAATATCAATGATGCCAAGGTAGTATATTGTGTCCATGCTCTGGTTCAGCTCGTCTGTCGCGCGCAAGCCGCCCTCTTCCTGATAAAAGATGAAGTATTGCCGCTCGCCTGTCTCCTCCGGAAGACTGATCGATCCCGTACCGAGTCGCTTTGGGTCAGATTCGCGTAGATTACGTCGTAACGCAATCGCGTCTGGTGATCTCGCGCCCTTGACTTGTGTATGTTTCCGTCGAATGACAGGCATGTCCGGCTATGAATCCACGTTAGCCATCTAGACGTACGACGGTTCGCGAGGTACACTTACCGAGAACTCCTTTAGCGTCTTACTCCGGACATTGTCACGGTTGCCCCTTTCCATGTTGTGGATACCGACAAGCAGAGAATAATCCATGACATATAGCCGCTTGAGCAACTCCGAGTCTCTTCGTAGTTGTTCAGTGAGAAGGGCGCGCTTCTCTGGACCCAGTTCCAACGTCTTCCGCCGGTGGATCCAATTCAAATCCTTCAGCGTCGCGCGCGGGTTCTCTTTTGCCTTCTCCTCAGGATACTCCCGGCCAACTGTCGATCCCTTGAGATCATATGTCTCATGGACGTCCTTATGCGGCGGAAAGAGGTTGTTCATGATCACAAAGTGAATCTTGCGCCCGTGAGGAAGTTTGACACGGTGAAGGCCGTAGAAGCGACTAAGCAACGTGTGCGGGTTCGTCTTCACGTGCTCGTAGTACTTCTTGAGGATCCGCCGGAGGAACTTGTGCTCGTTGTGGTGGATCGTTTTTATGATGAACCGGTAGTCACGCGAGAAGTAGAAGAACGAGCCCGATTTGCCCGGCGAACCTAGCTCGGACAGGATGTACTTCGCGGTCAGGCTGAGCAAATAATCTGCAGGGTCGAGGTGGAAGTAGTCTTCTCGGAGTTCGCGGAAGACCCATGGTGCATAGTCCTTAAACTTGAAGTCATACCTTGCCGATGGTGTCAACTCATTCCCGACTCTGTGAAAAGGTTAGCAAGTGAGAATGACACGTAGATAAGGGCACCTACATGTCAAAGGAATACTTGTGCGCGGCGGTATAGTCATCCTCTGTCAGTGGCCGGCGAATTTTCGCCTGACACCGCGAGACGGCTATCCGGATACCAGTCAACATATTGTACATCAACACATAGTTGACATGGTCCTCCCCAATCAAATGCCCTACCAGGGGCCCATCCTCGCCACGATTAGACGTGCCGCGTACAAGTGACATGGTGCGCGTGAGCGCGCTCTCCGCCTTGACCTTCTCGGCCTGCACGCGTTTTGACAGCCGTTCGCGGCGGATTTGCGCCGCCTGCTGCTGCATCTCCGACTCGAGCCCCTCCTCCACGATCTCCTCCTCCGCGTCCGACACGTATGTGTGTGTGTGCGACTGCAACGACGGGTATGCGTGTGCGGGGTTCGGTGTGTGAACGGTGTTCATGCGTGTGGGTGCGCTAGTGGAGGGCGCGGTGGACGCGGTGCTCGAGCCGGTTGTGTTCCGCCGCCGGTGTGGGTGTGAAGGCATTGGCGGAGCTTGGAGGTGACCATCTGGAGATGTGAGGTTTGCATGTGTCGGGGAAGATGGTGCTTCGGGCCATAGCGACGGTGTACTCCGCGATGCAATAAAGGTGCTGTGTGATAGCTTCGTCTCGACAGAAGCCTTATGTTGTAGAGTTAACGACGGGCGGGAGGCGGGAATGCTAGGCGAGCCATGTGAGCTTAAGGATGAACGAGGTTCATGTCTCGGTTCCTCGAAGGTGACGATGGGTGCAGGTGACTCCGATCTCATGCGAGTGAGAATGGGCGGACATGGTGGCTCCTCCTCGACGTCCTCTACGCTGGACGGTGGCGAGGGCGGAGGAGGGCCCACATTGGAGTCGCTGCTGCCGGACAGGTGGTGCGGGCGAACTTTCTGCAGAACGCTCTCAGACACCGCGCTGGCTTCAAGCTCCACGGTGTCGTCCGTAACCTTAACGATGTGCACCTCCTGGGTGGACGCGAGGGCGAGAGCATGGAGAGAGTTGACGGGCTCGGCGTCACGAGGGGCGAGGGTGTGGGTGGAGGAGGAGCGGGAGGGCTGCATGGAAGTCTGAGGAGCGGTCAGATACGACGAGCCTGCCTGCGAGGAGACGACGCTGATCCTGCGCGAGTCGTCAAGAGAAGCGAACGAGGAAGCCTGGGAGGTGGGGAAGACGGCTGCGGCCATGTGCGGCGACAACGAGCGAGGCGTGTGCTGTAGTGCAGCGTCGACCAGCAGCGAGTGGATTGTTGTAGGTAGAGTGAGAGTGTATAGTCGGCGTCGGCAGGTGGGCACGCTAAGACGAATGGCGAGGAGGAGGAGTCGGTTGCCTGGCTCGACGACGAGGCCACATTTGTCGTTGCTCTCAGAGCCTCCGTCCTCGCAATCCTATCCGCTTTTCCCTTATCCGACCCCTTATCCGACCTTTATCCGTTACAATTCAGACCATTAATGTCCATGTTTGGCTAAACACATCGTTACATTTAGCATAGACGCCCAGTTGCCACATAAATTCAGCCGTCGCATGCGGCCAACATCCGAGCGCTGAAGTTGTCAATGGGCCTCGGTTCACAGCCATAGTACACAAGCGTAGTCGTCCAGCGACAGCAATAACGAGTCGGATGGCAGAATCGCCAAGTCCTGGTGACATCTACCCGCTTGTGTTCAATAACTACATCCTGCTATGAGTTCGTTATAACCACCGTTGCAGCCGTTGTCAACTTTGAAAGAGTTTAATACATTTATTCTACTCACGTATACGCCAAACCAACACGCTCATTGTCTGTCTCAAAGATATGAAATAATGAGCCACCTATCAGACGCCGCCATCTGTACGAACAGCCATGCCGCACTGACTTACCGTGTAGTGCCTCTCCATGAACTTTAGCTCAATAATAACGTTCAGTCCCTCGCCACTGGGCGAGCCGGTCGGATCAATGCACTTTTCCCCACCTCACGCGAGACTGGTCGCGCGGGAGCAGCTTGCCTCGGCGTCGAGCTTTAACGTCGTCCCGCCGATCTCAAAGTTGAAGTCCTTCGCGCTCGCGACGGACGAGTAGGTAGGGACAATCGGTCAGGACCATGTGCTGCCATAATAAAGCGCCAGGATCGCGTCCTGGTAGCAGGCGGTGTAGAAGCCATCGACGAACAGATTCACACACAATGTTCGTTGTCAGGAAGAACTGTTAAAGGAATGACATCGGGACGTACATGTTGCACTCGTGTCGATGATGCCTGCGTTTGAGTACGGGATGACCAATGTAGCACGCGCGATGTTGATGCCCTAAACTAGTGCCAACCTTGACGGGTGCCTTGTCATGACGGAAGTATATATGTGACCCCTGAAGTGATCTGGGAGAGAACTCAGCACGCTTGCAGTCAGCACTGAATATATGCAACATACCAGAGACAGACCAATGCAACTAAACGTCAACACTCCATCTGTCCGCAGCACGAGATAACCAGCTCCAGCCTCCGCAATCCTAGATGCACACACATTCTTACTGCTGTCGCGGTTCGCCGGCGCGCACGGCCGTGCGCCCTGGATCTGCTCCAAGACGAGTCTTCTTGTATGCATTGTTCATCACCATCGAAACCTCCGCGTAAACAGACCGAGGTAGAGTGTACCAAGCATAAGTCCAGAGGCGACACCGAAAATCCCATCTACACCTCTACCATGATTCCATCACCGTTGAGATCGCCATGAACTTCTCATTCAAAGTCAACGCACTCGAGCGCGTCACCGATAGACTGGTTCTTGATAACGAATCCTGAGGCGATCGCGACTTCATCAAGATCTACAGGAGGCCGTGCCGTCCGTGACGTTCACTTCACGTCCAATGGGGACTGCGGATACAACGGTTCTTCTGAGTCCTACACGATATTGAGACTCACGTATCGGCGACGGCGACGGCGACGAACGCTAAAAGCGACATGAACATGACACGTACCTACCGCAAGCAGTCTGCAAGCGAGCTCCGGAACCCCACTTCCTGGCAGAGGCACAATGGTCGTACGTAAGCCCGCCAATGGAATACCGGAGGATGGAAAAGCAACCAGCATACGATATCGCACCGCATGGCCGGGGTCGTCCAGCCAAGGTAAGGCGACCGTGAGGAAAATGACTATGGCGGAGAAGCAGGGATGAATGTGCTACCTCCAACGGGAAGTCTCACGTATGTTGGCCGGGAACAGCCATTTCAGCAGCCATGTGTGCTGAACCTGTCGTACACAGCACAATAGAGGATCGATTAAAACAATTCGGAGCCTGCGGGGGGCTTGAACTTGGATTGTCTTATCGACATCTGCCCACAGGAGGTAACTCGACGAGCACTTTGAGCCACTTCAGCACCCGGCGTTGCGAACAACGCTCGCGACCGTCAGGCGAGACATCATGAAGCGAGGGCTCTAACACCATCAGACAAGAAGGCATCGAGAAAGGGAACAAGTATCGCGGTGTCTTGGCAATGCAGAGCACTAATCGGAACCGACTTTAGCAGCGAAGTAGATCGGCCTTCAACAAGCACCGCAGACATGAAGCAATTTGCGCATGTGGCAAATGCTTAGCAAATGTCGACAGG